GGTCAACGGCAGCTATCGCCTGGTCTTCGGGACCTGCAACCCCAGAGAATGCGTGGCTGGCCATAGGAATACCTATAAGAGTGGCAGAGAAGAGAAGGAAAGGGGTTGAGAAAACAGCAAGGGCATATCTTCCATCTGAAGGAACCGAAAGGAAGGCATGAAAAAAGAACGAAAAAGACAGAGGAGCGGCGTAGCGGTAGAATCAAAATCGGACTTTCATGCGACGCGAACATCTGTTCAACGAGGAGCACGAAGTCCAACGCAATTTGTTCAATATCATCGTAGCCCCAGGAACGCCGCATTTATGCAGCTGCACCAACGAAAGAAACAGGAAAAGGTGCAGAGAACTAGACATGAAAAGACAGACTCACGGCGATCGTGAATTTGCTAACGTTGAGCATCGTGAGGGTGATATGGAGGAGTGAGGGGCCGGCCCCGGGAATCGTTCAGCCCCCAAGTATCGAAGTCCTGAGAACCTTCAGCTTCAACTTCAGCACAAGGTGACAAAAGTACTGAACGAACTCGCTCACCACCTGCGCAGATTCCTTCATCCTTCCCGTAGTCATGATCTGATCATCTTGTCGATACACCTGTTCAAAAGCATTGTCCCAACACTGAAAGATACCGCTCCACTGGCACCGTGTGGTTGTACTTGAGCGTGAGAACTCGCTGCGCTGGTCCATGAGGTCGAAGGTCAACTTTGTGTCCTGGCCGTCCATGTCCGTCCCTGTCTGCGAGAACGCTTGCGCTGAGACATCATGAGACGACTATGTCGAGGAAAACGACGCCGCCCTGCGTTGGGAAGCAGTCGTTCATGATGTGTTTGATGTGCTCGTGGCAGGACGGGCTTGCAGTCGCGGTTGAGCTGGGGAAGAGGGAGGTCTGATAGTATCCAAGGGCCGCGGCAGCTATGGCGACGACGCACCCTTGCTAATTTCAACAACAGCTTCTCTTCGGACGAGCCCTCTGGCTTCGCCTGGTCGTATGCAATATTCAACTCCATCTTCTCGCCAGTATTCTTCCTGAGGTGGGTGTGTGACCTTTCTTCGGCTCGGGGAGCATCTGCATATACTTGATCGTGGTGATAGATCAACTGGGCAGCGGCAGCTTGTGGGGCTCTCGTGAACGTCCAGGCTGCGAGTTGTTGCAGAGAGCAGAAACGAACCAGGAAGCTACAGAGCCAATCAACACCGTTCGGGAACCGGCCCGGTTCCTGCATCCTCGCCACCACTTTCTGTTCCTTCAGTATAGATATCTCATTTCTCTGTCCTCGCTCTTCTGGACTAGTCCATGTTAACTTGAACTACAATACCTTGGACAAGGTCGTTTCGATCATTTAATTGTCATTCTCGACTAAGTACGCACTTTCTCATTTCTGACGCATTACACGTCTCTTCGGCCAAGATTGTAACTGACCATGATGTTCTTAGGATCTTGAAAAGTTCCTTCTATGTGACTGTCGTATGCGCCAACATCGCGTGTCTGCCGAAAAAGTGAGGACGCCACAAGACTTGGACCGTTCCTCCACACGCTCAGTGCTGCCTCTTCAGCTTCTTGTCATCTCAATCCCCCTTCTAAAATTCATCTCTACAGTTATCTCGCCGGATAAGAACATTGCCTGATGGTTTCTTCCAGACAATTCCTTCCTTCTTAACAAAGACGTCGCAGTGTCTCTTGGATTAGGGCATCCTTATCTCGCTTTACGGGCGACAGAGCGCAAAAATAATCTAAATTTATGGCGGACCCTAAGATATCCCGAGATCCACACTGTAGCCTAAGTACAGGGAATCGACACAGCTAGCGTTCGAATAACAGAGGAGCTCCTCCCTTCCACCACTCCATCCGGGATGCTCGTCGTTCGTTACAAATCGCTCAATGTTCCATTCTGCTCACGGTACAATGCTACCTCGTGAATCCCGTCCTGGTGGCGCCGCTGTATTGTTAACACTTCAAGAGCTCTGAGGAGAGAAGCTAGAGTATATAGAGAAACAAGACGACGCTACGAAAGAGACCAGAAATTTTGATAAGCGCCAAGGAATTCGAGCAAGTAACAGTACTTGGTCTTCAAGACAGTGGTATGGAGAGGGCCGATAGCGTCCTGGAGCGCAGTGGTGACCGCTTTATAACGAGGCCTCTGTTCCATCTCTCTCTCCTCCACCACGATATACATTTGGAACGGAGACCTTTCAAATGGAATCTCTTTCCCTGGCTGATATTCATGGAGGTGCTTGCGCATCCAGTTATACCGTGAGTGAGCAAGGTGTGCGTAGGCGGCGTCTGGCATACGTTCACCCACGATTTCAACGGCGTAGTGGAGGACTATTGATCGTAGATGGGGGAGAGGGGGTGAGAAATCCAGATTAGTGCATTGGCTTTCATCGATCGTGAGGAAGGAAACGAGGCCCGCAGAATCCTCCAATCGTATTTTTGGGTTTGCTCGTTCTTGATTTTCTATGGGGGTACGACTGACAATCTTGAGGATACTGAGCGTCTGAAGCATTGTCGCGATGCGAAGGAGTGAAAATAGATCTTCGTCATCCACATGCACTCGAGCGAGACAGAGGGCCGTCAAACGAGTGAAAAAAGGCACATCACGGATAATAGTCTCCACAAGAACCGCCCCGTCGGGGATAAGGGAAAACAGGGGTTCCAAATGAACGTCAAGTATGAGCGTTTCAAGAACCGGGAGATTGAGGTGACGAAGTAATGTGGAAGCACTTGCAGAAATGTTAGTTTGAATGGTGAGTTTGGTTAGACGGGCAAGCGAATGGACACTTGGTGGTGCCCACACCGTGCTATCGGGGAGAATTCTATTTAGCAAGGAATCATATGCATGGTAATGAATAGATGCAACGCGAATGTTGGTGCATTGCGTAAGGAAGTTGCGCAAAATCCTCACCCTTGCTGGAAGGGTTAACCCGCTGTTGTGATATTGGTCGTCCACTTTAAGGAAGAGCGTTTCGAGAGACGACTGTGGGACTGAAAAGCGTGTGAGGTCCATCACGGACTCGGACTCCAAGTGGTAGGACCGGAGAGGGGAAAGTGCGAAGATGTTGGACGCAGATCGGACATTGTCCGATATATGCCTGTCAATATAGAGGCTAAGAAATTTCAATTGAGACACCATTCTTGAAGTAAGCGCGCTGAAGAGGACAGTAGACCATTTGCTTTCAGAATGAAGCACGAAGGAGTTGGATCTGGGAAAGAGGGTCAGCAGCATGTTGAAGGCACTATTCCGATAGTCCTGCAAAGTCGACGAAGGCGAGGAGATCCTGTCGTAATAGGTAGTGGAGTTGGAGATACTGAGAGATAACGGTGCATTTCTGGATCGTTCGGAAAAAATCTGTAATTGTCGCAAGAGGTGTTGATAGACTCGAATCACCACATCCTCGTCCCTATGTGGCGTGACTCGTTCCCCATCCGAGTCGACGTACTCATCGGAACCTATGTAGTCGTCGTCTACCGGATATTGGCAAGCAATTTTCGACCACAAGACGGGGTCCTTGAGAGCGATGTCTCTCCAAAGACTGCAAACCTGACAGAGGACGAGCGGCGAGTCGATCGCTCGGGTTGGAGAGTCTTCCCGTGGCAATGTGAGACGGAATATTTTTGTCAGCAGTTCAAGAGGGAGTCGTCGGATGGGCGCCAATATGGACGTGATTACAGAGACCTGCTTTGCCTTCTCCTCAATGACGTCCTCCATGGCGACAAGACTCTCGCACATAGCCTTGATTGAGAGAAGCACATTCTGGCGCTTCGACTGAATATCTTGAATCTCTTCCTCGCGCGTCTCCCGAAGTCTGACCAGACTGGCACACTCTCCCTGTGTCGGGACAACCCCAATTCCTTGAATATAAATTGGTACATCATGAGACTAATGATGGATTAGAGCGATCAGAGTTCAAGAGCGTTGGATCGCACCATCGGCCCCAACTGATGCATATCGGAGGATGAGACACGCTCCGGGTGGAAACCTTTGGCCTCGATGGAGAGCCCTTCTGACTCGTTTTCCTTCCAGGAGTAGTCTGTTTTGAAATAAGTACATGCCAGGATGGTTGGTAGTACGACTAACGCAGTGATTTCGCTGCAGGAATATCTCTTAACGTTGTGCGCTGGATTCAGCAGGGGATGACTTACACAAGGTATTGTCCAATTGGATGCGGACTGACACAGATTTCATGATTATACAAGTGCGTTACAGCGAAGAAGTGAGGCCCAGATAGGACGTTGAACGTTGCTTTTGAAGATTGAGGTTGAAACGTTGAAACATCGTGCAAGCCGCGTGCCCATTTTCCTTGGTAGTCAGATATGTCCCACGCCATCCGCGCTTCACTCGACGGTTGAGGCCTCAGCTTTTCAGCAAGCTCCGAGCGGCTCCTCAAGAGTGAAATTAAGCTCGTCGGCGACAAGAATAACGTCGACGTCATCACACTCGCCATCGGCAAACTGGCCAGTGATTTTGGGTTTCGACAAGGTCTGGCAGACGATTAGGTTAATAGCACAATAAAATAACAAAGGACGAATTAACCCCAGCATCTCTCAACGCCTTCGCCGACTCAACCCTTTTCTCCAATGGCCCATTGTCTACGCGCATTACACACCGTCGTCTGCGTTTCTCTCGAGCCTCTCTCCACACACTTCAATCACACCGCTGTAGAGGACGTGCGTGTCATCTGGTGGGAGGCAGGCGTAATGTCGGGCGGCAATTCACTCATCTCCATTTCTTCGTCCGCTGGGTTGGTTCTAGTTATTGACTTGCGCTTTTTGGCTTCGGCGGTGGGCACAGGATAGGCAGGATACTCGGACAAGGACGCGGAAGTGAAGATGTTGGCAGCCTTGAGCCTTGGTGAGTTGATCGCCTCTACGTCCATTCATAGATACCGGTCTCGCAGTCAGACCCCAGTCGGTCGGCCGTGCGCCTTCGAAAGATTGAAGACCGTGCCTAAGTGGCACGGGCATTGCGTTGCACTCGCGTTGGATGTTACGTGGGGTGGCGTCAGCTACGAGGAAAGCAAGGGGGTGCGAGTCGCCTGGCAATGTGAATTTTAGATTTCGAGGACGGCAAAGGGAATCGAAGAAGGTACCTCTGAGCTTTTCACGTTATCCGCGATCGCCGGGTCGGGGCTCTTTTTCTTCTGACGTCTCGAGACTGAGGTTCGTCCAGGGCAGCTATAAGACGCGTAATTAGGAATGAAGTAGTAAACAATGCGTCGTAGGTTCACCTTGTCGAGTTCTTCGACAGCGGAAGATAGACTTCTGATTTTACCGGGCCCAACACTGCCCACTCCGGATACGCCGTTGAGCATTTGGTAATTGTTGGCCCGAAGAAAGTGTCAGCATAAGCAAGTTTGAGATATGAGGGAAAGAGAAAAATGAACGGAAGCAACATGAGCATAAAAAGACGGACAGGAGTACAGGAAAAAATAAAGGGAGGAACAGAGACAAACATCGTTGGTCGAGAGTACGACGCAGAAAATGAAGAAAAAATACATCGGATACCTCTTTCGCAACACGTTAACCCCGAAATTGGGCGTATGACAGCTCGAGGATATGAAGAACAGGAAGATGGCATAATGCAATCCATCGCCTATTAATCGAAACGAGGACAATAAAAAAGGCGGAGCGACGACTCAGGATTTTCACCCAGTTGTGCTTAGTCCAGGAAATCCGGAGAGCGACGTGGAAAGGACAGAAAAAGGGTAGAGGAAACGGCTTTAAGATGCAACGGGAACAGGAAAGCTTGGGTTTAAGGCCTGGACATACCTTCTTCCTAAAGAAAACACAACGCGAAAAAAAGAAAGGAGGAATTCAACAGTCGACAAGTGACAATCGAGGTCAAAATCCAGATCGGACTTTCATCCGACACGAACATCCGTTCATCGACGAATGGCACGAGGTGCATCGCAACGCGCTGACGAAATTCATAGTCCCTGGGACCTAGGGGGCCGAATAGTAACGAAAGGAAGAGGAAATTCGACAAAGAAGAGATAACTAGACATGAAAAGACTCGCCTTGATGACAAATTGGCCACAGATACCGTTCGAGCGGTACGGCGAACTGCTAGCCGTCCTAGTTCATGACGTCGAAGATCGCCTTCAGGTCCTCGCAGCAGTCATTGGTGAGCACTTCCTCGCGCCCGAAACAGGGGTGTCGAAGTAATAGAATGCCCTGAACGAAAGTGTCATGACGAAGAAGAGGACGCTCTGAGGACATACCTTTGCTCTTTTCAAGAGCAGTTCCCCATCTTCTCTTGCGAAGTTCTCTCTGGCTCCGCCTCTCCATCTCCGACCTCGGTTTTCTTCTCCCTTTATGAGCGAAAAGCGAATCTCATTGGTCTTGTTGACGAGCTCGAGAGGCCAGCAGGACATACGCAAGTTGATGCAGAGCGCCGTCTGGGCTGCCCTCTCCAGGTGGTAATCGCGAGAGACATACCTAGATAGAGAGGATCAGATATTACGAGAGGGAGAGAGAGGTGATAATGGCGACGTACCTTCGTAAAGTTGGAAATGGGCGTCAAGATTAGAGACTCGCTAGTCGGCTCAAGCATCGAGGCAACATACGGGCCGGTGTTCGCAGCACGTGAGCGTACAAATCCGTGCCAACCGAATGATGCCCTCGAAGTCCCAGTCAAAAAGGGCGAATGCATGTTCTGATAACAACTCTCCGCCGCCCACTGCCAGGACGTCCCCCATTTCGCCTCCTAACAACATATTTCGCCTCCTGCCGTCGTTATCGTCGACGATCACTCTTCGGGCTCTTGGAAGACAAATTCAACGTGCCTTTTCCGACGCCGGATACGATCTCTTCTAATCTCTTTCCATCACCCCATCGCTCTCTGTCGACCATGGCGTCGCCCGTCAACATCTCCGAGCTCGAGGCAGAGATTGCAGCGCAGAAAGCCAAGTTCAACGACCTGCGACTGTCTGGCCAACCCTTGGACGAGATCAAGCAGACCCTCTCCGAGTTGAAGAGGACGCTTGCCGTGGCGAAGAACGCAGGCAAGGAGAAGAAACTCAAGGCAGCAGATGGAGAGGCGAAGCCAGAGAGCTCGTCACAGGAGAAGAAGAAGGAGAGGCTTCTCCTGAAAACTGCGAAGGTACGTCGTCGTCATCTTCGTCGCCATCATCTCGTGCAGCCCATGACTCACCGTTCTCCAGGGCACCCGCGACTACGGCCCCGCCGAGATGTTCTGCCGCGAGCACATCGAGCGTATCGTCAAAGACTGTTTCACCACCTATGGCGGCGCCTGCCTCGACACGCCCGTCTTCGAGCGTAAGGACGTGCTGACCGACAAGTACGGCGAGGACGCGAAGCTCATCTTCGACCTCATGGACCAGGGCGGCGAGCAACTCGCGCTTAGATACGACCACACGGTGCCGCTAGCACGGTATCTCGCGATGCAGGGCGGGACGTCGACGCAAAGTAAGCTGTGGCAGGTGGGCAAGGTGTATCGACGGGACAATCCGGTGATGAGCAAGGGCAGGATGAGGGAATTTACGCAGGCGGTAAGCACATTCGTTGATTCTTGGATTCGGTGTGCTGACGGATTTCAGGACTTCGATATTACAGGCACCTGGGACGCGATGATTCCTGACGCTGAGATTCTGTCGCTCCTCCACACCATCCTCACCAAGCTCGACGTTGGCGAATTCACCTTTAAGGTGTGTTTTTCCACTTCCATCTCCTGCTTCGTTCGCCTTTTCTTCTTCCTTTTCTTCTTCTCTCGCCGCATATATGTCGTTTTTTCCTGGAACTCCAACGTTTAGAGACGTACTGCGTTGGACCTAGTCCTCGTCGTCGAGCAAATGCTCCTGGCGAGTGAAAGTCTTATTAGGACTTCTACCTCGTGCTTCTCATCGACCTTTCGGTCCTCCTTTCTCGTGGCACCATCTCTTCTCCTTCGTGCGCAGGATAATCCACCGCCGCAACCCGGGCCCTTTTCGCGATCCGTTTATTTTGCCCACTGCGTTCAAATTTGTTTTCCCTGCCATTTTTCTGTTCTTTTTGCAACATTATTTTCGTCAAATGAGTGTTGTCATCGAGCCAAAGTCTCTGCATCTTTGTTCATCTTTTCTCGTTTCGTTGTTTCCATCAATCCATGGATGACCTGCCTACGCCGTTTTCTCTCTCGCTTTCTTCTGCCCATTCCGTAGCGAAGTTTTTATGGCCGCCGTCCATCATCGCATACATCAACGAACCGCGGAGGAAAAGTTCAACTGGTTTCTTCTTCGAATTCCAGCCTATCTCCATGACAAATGTCACTTGTTTCGTTCGTCCTTCGGCGCATATGTTCGAGATTTTTGGGACTCGGACGACCGTGAACGCATTACGCATGGTGCTGGACGTACCTGCCGTTGATTGGACACTCCCGTCGGATGAAAGCACTGTGTGTGTTCTACCTGCAGCCTACTTCTCGACCTTTTTCTCCCTTCATCGTTTTCGTCAGCGAGCCCCGGCCCGTAACTCCGGCCACTCTGTCGATGACTTTCCTTTGCATGGCATCTGGACGTTATTTATCCTGCCTTTTCCTTCCCGTTTTATGGCGTTCTCCTGGCCTTTATATGCGGCATTTCTGGGCTTCTTTCTGGACCAATTTTCATGTCCAATGTGGATGCCGCCTCCGCTTCTTTTCGTCTTTTTCGTTTTCTCGTCTTCATTAATGGACGCAATAAACGCCTCCTTATCGTTCATCTTCGTCGGCCCATCCCGGGTCAAATACATTGACTCTAGCTCTCGACATTCGATGAGCGTGGTGGTATCTTTGGACCGACGGCGAAGGAGGGCTCAATTTATTTCAGTTCCACATAATATTCGTATCGAATACCATTCAGCCCCGTTTCTTTCCCGTTTTCCACGATTACCCCGCCTTTACGATTCATTAAGTGGTCTTCATCTCCTCTCCGTCGCCGGGTGCTTATTTCACTCTCCCTTACTTTCTTCCTATCCAGCCTCAAATCCTTTTTTGCTAACACGTTCCTTAGGTAAATCATCGCCGAATCCTCGACGGAATTTTTGAAGTTTGTGGTGTTCCGCCCGAGAAAATTAGGAGTATATCTTCAGCCGTCGACAAGCTCGATAAGGTGACCATGAGCGATTCCTTCCAGTTTTCGCCATCCGACGAATTTCTCCTCAGCTTCCATGGGCCGAAGTTAAGCTCGAAATGACAGAAGAAAAGGGTCTCGATCCTTCCGTCGCAGACAAGATTGGCGAATACGTGAAGCACAAAGGTATATCCCTCGTTTCATCATATCCTCCTCCTCAGATATCTAAGTTAGCACTCTTGACAGGCGGTCCCGAGCTCCTCTCTCTCCTCGAAGGCGATGCTACCCTAACGGCCAACGCGAGTGCAAAGCAAGGCCTGAGTGACATGAGCATCCTCTTCACTCTCCTGAAAGCGTACGGCATCATCGAGCGGATATCATTCGACATGTCGCTCGCCCGAGGGTTGGACTATTATACGGGGATTATCTACGAGGCGATCGTGGAGGCCAGTGCGCCGCCTGGGTTCAAAGCCGCCAATGCCTTCGCCTCTGTTCCATCGGACACCACAACCTCTCCCGCACCTCCATCTGCACCCGCCGCCGAATCCAAGAAACCGAAGTCAAGACCAAAAACCACCAACGGCGCTGACGAAGAAAAGGAAATCGACGAATCGCAAGTGGGCGTCGGCTCCATCGCGGCTGGCGGGCGGTACGACAACCTCGTCGGCTCTTTCCTTTGCGGCGCGGCCGGCGTCACGCCTACCTCCAACCCGAAGGACTACAAGAAGTTCATGGCCTCAGGAGCGCCGTGTGTGGGGGTCAGCATCGGGATGGACCGGATATTCGCAATCGTGTGGCCGAAGTGGGTGGAGCGAGGAGCGAGGGCGAAGGGGACAATGGTATACGTGATGAGCGCGGGCGACGGGCTGTTGGAGGAGCGGGTGCGGTTGGTTAAGGAGCTGAGGGACGCTGGGGTTAAGGTAAGTTTCTCTGATATCTTTTTCCCTTTGTCGCCGCCGCCCACATTTCTACCATCCTTTCATGCTTACACTATCTATTTATGTTGACCACGTTCTTTCACAGACCGACTTCCTCGCCAAGTCCAAACCTAAAATCGCCGCCCAATTCGCCGCCGGCGAGCGCGATGAGGTGCCCTTCGCCGTCATCCTCGGTGCGGACGAGCTCAAGGCTGGCCTTGTCACCGTCAAGGAGCAGCGCTGGCAGCTCGTCGACGGTAAGAAGGTCAAGATCGAGAGCTCAGACAAGGGCACTCAGGTCAAGCGCGATGAGCTGGTCAACTGGTTGAAGAAGAGCGAGACGTGGGGCGAGTGGGAGGCGGGCGTTTGGTGAAGGCCGGCGGAGATGTGGGTGCTTATTTAAGTTATAGAATATATCTCTGTCGTTGATAGCTTACCTTGAATACGGAAAATAGAATATCCTGTGCCTCCATCCCTTGCGCCATGGTTCGCCAAGCAATTGTACCCGTAAAGCATTAGAGAAGACCAAAGGACACGACAGGTCGTGTGTATTGTGCTGTATGAGTCATTGACGTGTAGATGGCATTATTGTGAGTGCCTGGCTTCACCGTGGAGGATCTCTACGCGCAATCGATTACTTATGCGGTTGCTCTAGACCCCTTGGGACGGTGTAAACGCCAACGTAATGCGGTCATAGATCGGCGAGGTGTCATGCTCGTATCCGTCACAGAAGGGCTATGCACGTCGATGTATCCTGATACCGTCTCACGATCCCTCCACCCACTCCTTCCTGTTTCTCCCTCTCATGTTCGACAACTCTCAGAATCTTATCTTCAACGGGGGAGCCTTTTGGAACGTCAACGGCAGCGTTTGGCAGCACCAAGAAAGTCCCAGCTCGAAAGGTGAGTGTACCGCATGAGGATGTAGGAAATCGCTCAAAATAACTCCGTTTTCGTAGGCTTCGAGCTCCTTCGTCAGCAGATAGCGCCAGGCGCCTTGCATGACTCAGAGGAGAGATACGACCCCCCGAAATGCCACCCGCTCACTCGACAGGCCGTCCTCGACAAGCTGATCGCATGGATTGAGGATATTGACAACGACAAGTTCGAGTCATTTTGGCTATACGGATCGGCAGGGGTCGGAAAGTCAGCCGTCTTGCAGACGATTGCAGAATTTTTCTACGCGAAGGGCCGTCTCCTCGCCAGCTTCTTCTTCTCGAGGAATTCCGCGACGAGGAACAACCGATATCACCTAATCCCGACGCTTGCATATCAAATCGCACTTTGTTCGCCCCAGCTGAAGGAACATGTTGGCAACACCGTCCACAAAGATCCCACCATCTTCGATCGTTCTCCCGAAGCTCAGCTGTGGGCGTTGGTGGTCGGACCCCTTCTAGAGGCTCGCAACCAACAAATCAATGTTCCAATGTTGATCATCATCGACGGCCTCGACGAGTGTCATACCCCTGACGACCAGGTCAGTATCCTCCGGGCATTCACAAACACGCTGAAGGAGGAGTCCCTCGGCGTAAAACTCCTCATTGCGAGTCGCCCAGAGCGGCTTATTCGCGCTGCGTTTGATAACGGCACTCTTCAGGAAAGGACACGCCGCCTGTCGTTGGACCACAAGTCATTGCGCGCATGGGAGGACATCGAAGTCTTTGTCCGGCATAAATTTCTCGAAATCAAATCGACACACCCTCTGCGTCGCTATATTCCGCCGGAATGGCCGTCGAAGGAAAATATCAACCTCATCCTCAGCAAGGCTTCCAACACCTTTATATTACCATCCGTCGTCATGCGCTATGTTGAATCCACTCGCCATCTGCCCGTGGAACGACTCAAGATCATCTGTGAGACATCGAGGCAGGTAGACGAAAGACCCTATGCAGAGCTGGACGCTCTGTACACCACGATTCTGTCTGGTATTGAACACATCAAACCTATTGTTGAGGTCCTTGGGATGCTAAGTTTGCGCTCGCTATCCAGGTCATACAACTTGTTCCTTCGTCCAACTCTATCCTTTTTCGCCAACTTCTTTCGGTATCCAATTGAGGAATTGAGGTCCTCTCTCATGGATTTGAACTCCCTAATTGACCTTGAAATTGGGGATGACGCCGATATCACAATCTTCCATGCCTCATTCACGGATTTCCTTACGGACAGGGGGCGCTCAAAGGAATATTTCCTTGATGCCGGTTTGGTTCATAGCCGTCTTGCCGTATCCTGTATCTCCCATTGCGATCTCATTTTTCAGTTAGACCCAAAAAATGAGCCAAGCATTATGAAGCGTAGGTTTTTCAAGTTCTTAAGCAAATTCCTATCTCAAAATATTTAGATGTTCGTCTCTACGTCTCCGACAACTTAACGTGGCACCTGAGGGAGGCTTCTCCCTCTCAAGCACTCTCAAACGCACTACTGAGCTTTGATGCTACGTCAGTGCTTGCCTTCGACGGGTGGGAGACCACAGACAAATTGTTTTTATGTTCCTCAATTGTTCACGCTATTCGAGCCTCGGTGGGTTTCCTCATTGCTGAAACACTCTCCCTGTCCTCACTTATTATCAGCATTTGCCAGATGCAGACAGCTTATATGCACAGAATGCGCAATTCCTCGACGACTATCTAAAGGGAAGGCACGATTCGGACATGCGACTAAGGGATCTGGCTACGTTCACACTGTGGAACTTTATGAGAGGATATGATGGCATCCCGAATGGGGTCAGAAGGAATACCTGCATGTGGCGTCCAGTTCTACGTGAATTGGGCGGTGCCGACATGAACCCTCACACCCTGCACTTTATGGCCCTCTCCGATGCCTCTGACATAAGGCCTCACCTAAGTCAACTGCTTTTCAAGCCTGGACAACCACTGGCAGGCGAGGTTCATCCCGATGGTTACCGGTGCGCTGCCCTCGCACTCCGATTCTCAAAGCTCTTATGTCCGTCGACCGACGCCCAAAAGGATCTCGTTCTCAGAATGGGACACGACGAGTTGATGGATGGGGTATTTCAGTTCGATTATTTCCTATCACGTTCTTCATATTCCTCCCAGCTGCACAGACACCTAGCCACATATCCCCTCATTTCGTTTGCCTTCGTCGACTGTTCAATTATTCGCCGCACCATTTCCGCGTATTTAGAGCTTCCGCCTGATACGGACTTGACTCTCATATCGCATCGAAACCATCATACTGAATCCTGTCCTCACGAATTCGCTATGGAATTGTAGTAGTGCCGATAATCGAGATAGAAGAGCGTGCGAATAGTATTTCGGGAGGATTTACGCGTCTAATACACCGTCAACTAGTCCCGAATGTAGTAGGATGAAGAGTAGACCGCGACTCAGCCAGAATCAGAGCCCAACAGGTCAGTTATTTCGTTGTTTATGAACCACCATCGAGGAAAGATCCAACGTCTCACCTGCTCCTCGTCTGGAGAAAGGAAATTTCGCTCACCGGATTCCGTTGGAGATTGACTAGCGAGCTTCGGATGGTCTGAAATTGAAGATATGTGCTTTATCCGTCCATTTCGATCTCGGGACATTCAAGCGCACGGCCACATCGGGAAAATATGGTCGAAGGGGAAGTAAGGCTTGAACGTACGCTGGCGACTGGGAGGTTATCAATATAGGGCGATAAATTACCAGAGGGGAAAACTGGAACTCACGTGGACAGTTACTCGACGGTCTAATACTCCAATCGTCCTTGGATTGAGAGCAGAAAGTACACACAGAATTAAGTGCACAGGCCGAGTATGCTTCCGGATCTGAAAGACGGTCCATCTTCGAATTTTGGTTGAGTTGTGTTTCTGGAGCTGTTTCCGAATTTAATGTTAGTATTCTGTCGTTATTTTCCGAGTTCGGCGTGTAGAGTAGTGACGAGACGAGATCCTAACCGGCCGAAGATGAAGTTTTCGAGGCGACGGTTCCATCTGAGTTATGATGGGAGAGTATAAAAACTGGAATGGATGAGACTGGGGAGGCGAGAGGGTAGATCGGGTGCAGGTATTGAAGGAAAAAAAATGGCGTGCTCTGAATCGAGGAGAGGCAAGAGAGATCGCATTGTCCATCTTCGCCAGGACTCTCTTCTTGTCTTCCCAGTCCGTGCAGTTCGGAGTGGGGATCAGTAGGGGCTATTCTTGGCGACTGATCGCTTGGTGACAGAATTTCAACCGGCAGATTCCGGACAAACCCCTTGGCGAACCACGACTAAGTACGAAGCTGGAGGAACGAGCACATTTGGCATACCTCTGGGGATGTCTTACAACTATTGCTAGAATTTTACAAAGGATAAATTGACGCTACGGAGATGTGCGAAGAGCTCCCCATTCTCAAGCTGGTCAGTAGATCCTTACCGGGTACCCGTTGCTCCGCGACGCGCCTCCCACAGAACTGAAAGTCCTCCGTTGAAGTAGAGCGACAAACATCGGAACTCGTGGAATTGAAGGAAGGTGTAATCGATGTCAGTGTACTGCTGCTTCGCATGAATCCTTCACTCTCAACTTGTTCTTGATACGAACTCTGCACGCAACGTACGGAACATCTGGTGACGTGATGCCGGAAGGTGTGTGGTGGGGTTTGCTCGAAGGTTTATTATAGCACCTGGGTTGGTCGAACGGGCTGTGCGTGTCTTCTGTGCCACACCCCGCTCTGCAAGGTCGCCTGCCAGCTCACTCATCCTTCTCTACTCCATGCTGCGCCACGCACGGAATGTGGTCATCAATGGAGGTGAATTCTACAACGTCGACGTATGGCAAAACCAATCAGTTTCGGCCTTGGAAGGTGAGTTTCCTGCTCGAAATACCATGAGATTGTCGAAACAATCCACCGTTGCAGGTATAGAGTTGCTTTACGCCCACACCGACCCCGGCGCTCTCCATAACTCAGAGGAGAGGTACGATCCACCAAAGTGTCACCCCCTCACTCGGCAGGCCATTCTCGACAAATTAGTCGCATGGATAGAGGATATGGACGACAAAGGATTCGAGGCTTTTTGGGTGTATGGATCAGCAGGAGTGGGGAAGTCAGCGATTATGCAGACCCTGGCAGAGCTCTTCCACGCTAAGTGCCGTCTTCTCGCCAGCTTCTTCTTTTCGAGGACTTCACCAACGAGGAACACCCCAGTTCATTTTATCACGACTCTATCCTACCAGGTCGCTCTCTGTTCGCCTCGCCTTAGGGAAGCCATCCGCAAAATCGTTTCAACAGACCGGTCCATCTTCGCTCGTTCCCTTGAAACACAACTCCAGGCGTTGGTCGTCAAGCCAATTTTAGAGGCTCGTAAGGAGGAAGACTCCGATATTCCCACACTGATCATCATCGACGGGCTTGATGAGTGTCATTCCCCCGACGATCAGAACCGAATTCTTCGGGCGCTTACTAACGCATTGAAAGATCAACCTCTCGGAATTAAACTTATAATCGCCAGCCGCCCTGAGCAGGCCATACGCACCGAATTCGACTCCGGCGCTCTCAAGCTGTGCTCACGCCGCCTCTCTTTGAACGACTCTTCATTGCGGGCATGGAAAGATATCGACGTATTTCTGAGGCATAAATTCCTGGAGATCAAGACTTCGCACCCTCTGCGTTCCTACATCCCGGACGGCTGGCCATCGAAATACGATCTCGACCTACTAGTTCGCAAATCGTCCAGTGACTTTATCTTCCCTTCCGTCGTGATGCGTTTTGTCGAAAGCCCTCGCCACAGGCCGGTTGAACGGCTGAAGAGAGTGTGTGGCTCGTCACCACGGGAAGGAGGAGACACCCCCTTCGGGGAGCTGGATGCTCTCTATACGACCATTCTCTCTAGCGTTGAAAACATTACGCCTGTGTTGGAGGCCCTGTTGGTCCTCTACACCATTCGCTTATTAGAACCAGAAGGGCGGAAGTCGAACATTTCTAGTCATCACTGCTTATCCGTCGTTGCGAGAACCCTGCGATACACGACGGAGGAGTTAAGGGTCTACTTGATGGATCTCACCTCTTTGATTGACCTCGAAGCCACGGATGACACTTGTATCCGGATATTTCATGCGTCCTTCACTGATTTCTTGATGGACGAGAAGCGCTCGCAGAAATACTATATCGATGCTGAATGGCTTCATAGCAACATTGCGAGCCGCTGCGTCTTTCATTGCAGCTACATCTACAAAATGAAAGGACTGCACGATCTGTTCAATACGAGGCGTAAGTTGTCACCATCTCTCAGAAACGCCCTCGTGTAATGTCATTACAGTTACGCAGCACTACGTCACTTGCTTCTTACTGTGGCATCTAGGCAAGATTTCGCCTAGTGAAGCTCTCGTACGCCAGCTATCGGACCTCGACACTACGTCCGTGCTTGTCTTCAACAATTCTGAGTTTGTAACGAGTGAGAGATGGCGTTTGTTTTTCGGAATCGTTAACTTTATTCGCACGTTGGTGGGTTCCTGTACTCCTCGGCCTTCGCCTACGTGATCTCACCAATTGCACGATTACCAGAAACGGCCCTACGCGGAAGGAATGTACCTGGAAAAAATGCGCTCCCTCGAAGACTATTTGAAGCACAAATTCTCTATCTACCACTCGGAGCCGGCTCTGAGGGATTTTGTGACGTCCATGATGTGGTACTTTATGATGGACTACGATGGGATCGAAGACTCGAAGGAGCGGCGTGCCCCAATGTGGAATATTGTGATGATCGATTTGAACGCCACCTACGAAGATAGCTGCATCCTCCACCTTTGCGGCCTCATTGATCAAGATAATCAGTCAGAAATTGTCCCTTACCTCAGGGAATTCCTTCTCAATCCGGAACGTGCAGGCGAGTTTCGTATCGATGGACAACGGTATGCCTCTCTTTCGCTTCAGTTCGCCAAGCGGTTGTGTCCGTCAAATGACGGGGGCATGCGAATCATTAAACTGAGCTCACGCGAGGTGGAAAAAGGGTTGTATCAATTCAACTATTTTCTCTCGCGTTCCTCGTATTCCTTGGAGCTACACGAGTATCTATCCACCTATTCTCTCATTACTTGCGACTCCGTCGACTTTTCAAAGATACGTCGGACGATTTCGTCATATTTAAAACTTCCACCGGACACCCGTTTTACTCTCGTACCATTTTATGGACAATCCTTCCCTGAATCCCCTCGGGCATGTCGTACATAATACTCTCGCACACCCAGTAATTCGAAACGCCATTTATCTGAGCGCTCTTTACCTTTTCCAACTTTGTGTATAAATTGACAGGAAATTAACATGGTACAGAACCTCGTGTTGAGACAGAAAGCGTCGAAATTCGCACAAAGACGACAGCGTATCAAATCGAGGATGTGAGGCGGCTTATTATTCGTGAGGGAGGGGTGAAATCAGAACTACAGGCAGGGGGCGCAGACAGCGTCGACACGAGAGAAGATTTAGTCCCGGGGTGTGTCAGAGGATGCTGGGATAGCAGAGATTTGGAATATGACACGGACCGGCGCAGGGGGTTTGAGGATGACGAAAAGAAGTGGGAGGGAGTCAAGAGAGAAAATGCTGAACTTGAAAGAGCTAAAGAATGGCAGAGGGTGAGGCAATGGTGTAAGACTGTGGTATGTGGTTCCGTCGGCCGAGAAAAGTGGAAGACGTACTGCAGCAGTACCCTTGCAGCTAGAAATAATTTATCTACGCGAAGAAAGAGTAACTTATCGGGCCGCAGAGGGAGTACGATGCGCTGCTATTATAATGATTTACCAATGAACAATAGTTTCCAATCCCAAATTCCACTCGAGCGCAGCTGCGGACCCGGTGCCTGACAGTATCATAACTCACACAGCTACAGCGGCGATGAAAGGAGATAAGTACATGGGCGTCAAATTGAAACGAGCACCTTGGCGCCTGGGCCTGACCGGCGACCGGACCGGCGCGGAATCGCAAAGGGTGCTGATTGGCTGACGACACCGAACAGCAATATCGGTCAGCTGTGTACGACGTTTGTCCCCTCCGCAATGGCCACGGCGATCTTCCACAGCATAGCAGGAGCGGAACTGTCTTCTTGTATAAGACGGATACCAGAGAGAAGTCGTTTGTGAAAATCGCCAGAAGTAAGTCGTCATTACCATCGCCTTCATAGCCTGCAGACCCGGACTCACTGTTGCTCAGGCCACACGACACTATGGCCCTACCGAGATGATTCTACCGCGAGCACATCGAGCACATCATCAACTATAAAGGGGTGCTTTTCTGCGCTGGGCGGCGCCTGCCTCTACCCATATTCGAGTGCAAGGACTTCGAGCTTATCCTCGACGTCGTGACCACGTCTCGCGCTCTGGTACGACCGTCTCGTGCGTATTCGGCGATGCAGAGCAAACTGTGGCAGATCGGGAGGGTGCGTTGACGGGATAATTCGGTGGTGAGGAAGGGCGGGATGCGTGGGTTGACGCGACCAGTGAGTATCTCATTCGGGCTCGTGTCAGGCAGCACGCTGAAGGCATACAACAGTTCGGCATTACAGGCACTTGGGACCCGGTGGTTCGCAACGAGAAACCTCTCTCGGTCACCCACACCAGCCTCAAGAAGCATCACATCTTTGAAATTTATTGCGAAAGTACGTGTTTCTGGCTCTTCACATACCTTTTTTTCGGTCCCTTTCGTGTTATACCCCACCCACATGTACCCATATGCGCCTTTTCCGGGACGGATGTCGAGGAACAAGTTCGTAAAGCTAGAGCTTTTCACCGAACGAGTGTTCCTGTCGGGCGAAATCATGATCTGGATTCAGCCTCCATATCGCTCGCAAACTGCTTTTATCTCTTTTGTCCCGTATCCCCTCCCTGTCGATGGGCGGAACCGTCTCTCAACTTCTCTGTCCCTCTTTCCGTCTCATCTTGGCCTTATTTGTACGGGCACCTCACTATGAATGGCTTGTCTCTTTTTCGTTTCTTCCATTGGATCGTCTTCATCTGTCATTTCGCGACCTTTGTCTTTTCTCTCCGTCGCTTTTTGCTCTCTGATCTTACCCTGCCCACACCACGTTGAACCTACTAATTCCAACACTCTTCTCAGCTCGACCGCCGCTGGATCTTGACGCAATCTTCGAAGCATACCAGACAAACGCGATAAGGTAATTTTTATTTCCCATCGCTTTCCGTTGCGATAATTTTGAATTCAGATTCATCTCGGCTTCCGCGGTGGATGTCAAGCCCAACTTGACATTAGCAAGAAAATGAGATCGACCCTTCCGTCGCCAACAAGTAAGATCGGCGAATGGAGTACTTCGAATATAAAGGTTAATTCTTCCCCTCGATCCTCCTTCCTTCATGCTAAATCTGAATTTCTCTAGACTCCGAACTCTTAGCCCTCCTCGAAGCAGACACCCCGCTCGGGAATGACGCAAACACGAAACAAGGTCTATCCGACATGAGCATTCCTTCGACCTTCCTGGGCGCGTGTCGTCTGCTTGTGTGGGTGTCGGACTCATACAAGTATGAACACTAAGTCGATATACTATGAAACGACTGTCCAGGTGGGCTGCCCCACTCGCAAAGCCACCAACGCATTCGCCGCTGCTCCTTGGTGTCGTCTGAATCCACTCCGTATCGACAACAGCATCTGATGAATTTATTTAAGAAATTCGCGTCAGTTCCCAAGACGGGCGGGCGCGTGGAGGAAGAAGGAACAGAGATCAATGGATCCCTACTCCGCGTCGGCGCCGTCGCCGTCTATGGTTCTGCAGCCTCGTCGGGTGAACGCCTACCCTCAGCCCGAAGGGCTACACGAACCTCGTGGTGTTCGGCGTGCAGTGCTTTTGCCCCACCGTCGGCATGGATAGGATCTTCGTGCTGACGTGGAGGAGACAGCTCGAGCGAAGGAGACGGGGTGTATGCATGTAGGAAGTGCGGGCGAAAGAGTCGATGGACGCTAAAATCAAGGTTGGTTCCACTGTCCTTTTGTCCTTTTGCCGCGGCCTACATTTCTTCTTGTTGCTTCGCATTATTAATATTTTCTTTCTCGCCGACTGACTTCCCCGCGGTCGTATACAGCTGAAATATGCAGGCGTCAATGTACTTTCCTACGAAGTTAGATACACGATGTCACCAAACTCGGTGGTGTGTTTTCTATGTAATTCTAGCCATGGTCGTTTTGCTGACCCATAATAAATTCAAGCCAACCCTCTCCGAACTAAAGAAGACGCTTGCGCTCGCAAAGAATGCTGGGAAGGAGAAGAAGCCAAAACCTGCAGACGGAGATGGGAAGTTGGAGAGCTCGTGGCAGGAGAAGAAGGAGAGACAGGTGCTGAGAACAGCAAAGGTACGTCGGCGTCGTCACCTCCATCATCACACTCTCAGACAGATCATGACTAACCGTTCTCCAGGGCACTCGCGACTACAACCCCGCTGAGATATTCTGCTGCGAACGCGTCTGGCGCGTCGTCAAGGGCTGCTTCACCACCTACGACGCTACGGCCTTGACACGCCCGTCTTCGAGTGCAAGAATGTCCTCACAGACAAGTATGGCGAGAGCGCGAAGTTCATCTTCGACCTCATGGACCAGGGCGGTGACCACCTTGCGCTCAGGTACGACCACACGGTGCCACTGGCAGTATCTGGCGGTGCAGGGAGGGAGATCGACGCAGAGCAAGCTGTGGCAGGTGGGCAATGTGTATCGGCGGGACAATCTGGTGATCAGCAAGGGCAGGATGAGAGAATTTACGCAGGTAGTGAGTACGTTCGTCAATTTCTTGCTTTTCTGTTTTCTGAAGGTCTTCAGGACTTCGGCATTACAGGAACCCTGGGACGCGATGATTCCTGACGCTGAGATTCTGTTGCTATTTCACGCCATCCCCACCAAGCTCGACGTTGGCGAATTCACCTTCAAGGTGTGTTTTCCCTTGTACCTTCTGCTTTCCGAACATCGTAAGCGGCAATGGATGAGAGCAGAGTTCCAACCTACGCTCATGACGAATGTCACTTGTTTCCTTCGTCCTTCGGTGCATGTGTTCGAGACTTTTGGGACTCGGACGACCAAGGACCCATTACGCCCTGCGCTGGACGTACCTGCCGTTGACTGGGAATTTCTGTCGGGTAAAGGCGCTGTGTGTTCTATCTGCACCCTACTTTTCGACCTTTTTCCCCTTTATCGTCTTCTTCAGCGTGGATAGCCCCGGCCCGTAACTCCGACCGCTGAAAGCTACTCACCTTGTCCCTTTCCTTTCCGTTTTACCACAATCTTCTGCCGTATGTATACTTTTTCTGGGATCCGGAGGTTTATCAACCTGTTGTGCCGATGCTAGTACTCTTCGTCGAACGAAAGTTCGTGTTCAGTTGAATTTTTTTGTGGATTCTCTCACATAGTCGTTTCGCTTTTCTCGTTTCCTTACCTTCATTAATCGATTGGCTGCATGGCCCAGCTACTCGCGCCGTCTTCTCGCTCATCTTCTTCTGCCTATCCCGTGTCAAAGATATTTACCTTGCCTCCGATAGTTGTCGACCATATCATGGATGAGCCAGTGGCGAAGGAGGAGTCAAGGCATTTTCTCAGAGTTCCAACTTTTCCTCTTGACGAACTCCATTTGTCTCGTTTCTTCTCTCTATTCCGTAGTCTTCATCATTGACTGTTCCTCTCCATCTTTGTGTACAAATTCAACTCTCCGTTGCATTCTACTTTTCATCCCACTCCAAATATCTTTACGCTGACGTAGTCCTCAGGTAAGCCATCACCGAATCCTCGACGGGAGCGTCGAAGTATGCGGTGTTCCACCCGAGAAAATTCAAAAGCATGTCTTCAGCCGCTGACAAACTCGACAAGGTGACCATAAACGATTGCTTGTATTATTTGCTATCTTACGAATTCGTCCTCAGCTCCCATGGGCCGAAGTTAAGCTCGAGATGACGGAAGAAAAAGGTCTCAATCCTGGCATCGTAGATAAGATTGGCGAATATGTGAAGCATAAAGGTACGTTCTCCATCACCCTCGGTCGCCTCCTTTCTGAAATATGAGCTCGCGATACACTAGGCGCCCCCGAGCTCCTCTCTCCTCAAGCACGATGCTCCCCTAATGGCCAACCCGAGCGCAAAGCAAGGACTGAGTGACATTAGCGTCATCTTCAGCCTTCTGAACGCGTACGGCATCATCGAACGGATATCATTCGACATGTCGCTCGCACGAGGGTTGGATTACTACACGGACATCATTTACGAGGCGATCGTAGAGGCGAGTGCACCGCCAGGGCTCAAAGCCACCAATACCTTCGCCTCTGGTCCATCGTCGGAGTCCACCGCCTCTCCCGCAGCTACCGGATCCAAGCAGCCCAAGTCGAGACCAAAAACCACCGACGGCGCGGACGAAGAAATCTTCTGTGGTGCGGCTGGCGTTACGCCTAATCATCATCGACGACATCTACCAGTGCCATTGGAACAAGGATGGCGAACAGTACCCTTCTACATTCGGCTCCTGAAGAGTTTGTTCAGTTCTCCGCAAGTGAAGCTCCGAAATGCACCTAAACGAAAAGCAGCGGAGTCTATCATCGCCGAACACTCGAAGACTACGTCAAATGTGCAAGTATGTACGCTCCTGGCTCCGTTCCCTCTTCGACTTCCTTCGTGTTTCAGTCTAACGTCGCCTTTGATTGTCTCTAAGCCGGACTGAGCCCGTCGTGAAGTCGACGCCATACTAACAGTGAATGTGAATGGCAAGGCCGCTCGGGTGATGTGGACACGCTCTTCACCGTTCTGAATTTGGTGGTTCGACGGTATTGATCGACACGGCGCCTGCTTCAAAACTGCGTGTTTCTCTAGCCTTCGTCTATGGGAGCATCCTCATTGCGAGTTCGCTACTCTGGCTTAAGACTGTCGCAGCATTATCTCTCGGATCTTGGTCCGAACCTACCTTCGGCCCCGCCTCGCCACACTCACCGTCGAAACGACAGTGAAAGGGTTAAAGACTTCCGGTTCTGAGATGGGAGGACTTTAATTTTCCCGTGTATTCTAGTCAATGGTTTGCGTAGCATCGGCTTCTTGGAAAGTATGCAGAGTAGCAACTAGCCTGACTAACCTCCGGAATTCGAATGCAAGTTGGTTTCCTCTGAGGAGTATAATTTTCCTTGACATGAACCGTTGCTCTAAGTGTCGGGCACTCGTATTGAGGTTGACTGATATCCCGCGACCTCCCCAGCTCAGTCCTGGTGGCGTTGGACGAAGGGTAATTTAGCAATATTTGTGATTGGCCGGAAAATTAGTTTCTTAAGCCGGAGAGTTCGGTCCCCCCCTCCGTTCTGATCCTGATATACGCTGGTTTTGTTCCAGAGATAAATCGGGGAAATATCATTGATGGGTTCCAGATAAAGCCCAGGGTCAAATGCCGATTATCTTCCAAATATGAATTGAATTGAATCTTCGAGGCCAGGGTATCTATAACGAGAACACATCTGAAAAGTATTCTCGGTAAACCTGGAGCAGGAAACTATACTCCATTGTAAATGTGTTCACAAAATAATCCAGCTATATTACAAGGACATATGGGAGAATGCCCGCAGTGAGAACGGCCAGCGGCAACCAGGATTTTCCGTTTCTTTGGTAGTATTAGGTTCTCCTTCAAAGAAAGGTAGGAGAGAGCGTAGACAATAGGGGTGGTTCAGGTAGAGAGTACTTAAGTAGGACAACGTCGAGCGATCTTCATCGAGGAATGGGAGCTGCGTGTACGTACGGTATGATCTAAAATCTACTCGTCCCTTCTTTCACTCGATCTCTCGCGGTACGAGATACTCGCCCGTCCTGGTCCGTTGAAGGAATATTTCGTGTCCAATCGAAATTGACTACCCTGCTTCGGCGCGCAGACTCGACGGAGACAGACAGATGCTCTAGTCCCGGTCAACGAGCACCAGTACGAGCGTATTTACGACTGCTCTCGAACGAACCTGAACACTAGATGAGATCAGTAGATCGAGCCTAGCTGAGGGGCGAAATTTGGAAAGGCCCATGTGGTAGGCTGCAACCTCCACATAGCTCTACGCAAGAAGCCGTTCGGAAAAGAGAGGATGCTTGATGGGAAAAAATGCATGAGCGTTTGTTGATTCGTTAGGTGTTTCAAGCGAGTCGACACGCACACAAATGGGTGCTATCCTTCCATCGATCCTACCCTAGCCTTCGGGCTCTGATGTTCAGAGTCAGCCTGGGGTATTAGAGACGCGATTCAGCCGTCCGCGTCTTCGCTCGTTATGGGCCTCACAAATCCACATTTCTCGTTTGATAGATTTATTTCGTCTGTTTGAACCCTCGGCCTATAGCACCGAGCTCCTTTGGGCAAAAGGAGTGAGCATATGTGGCCGACTCGAGGAAGAGTACCGACCTCAGCATTCTCGAGTATCAGATACGTGGGCTTCTAGTCGTCCTTGCCCGCAATCCGTCTCCAAGTTCGGGTTGAATGGCTTTCAGGAGACGTTGCGGAATAGGGCGTCGATATCGTGGTCCGAGTCGCGGGCGTAGAGAAGGTGCGAGGCCAGACTTTAATTAATCATCTGAAGACGAGATTAATTGTGTTGGAAAACAGCAGGCAGGAGGAGTGGTGGAAAGTGTCGCTGCAGGCTAGTTAGAGGCTCGATGACGAAAAAAGTGGGAGCTGAGGAAACAAAGAGCGAGGAGCGGGGGTTCTGGTGCCGGACCGGCACGGGATCGCCAAAGGTGCTGATTGGCTAACGCGATCGAGCTCCAACATCGGTCAGCGTTTTGTCCCTCTGCAACGACCACGACCACCTTCGAACGTGGTGTAACAGGAGCTGAAGTGACTGCGTGTCTTGTCAGCGCTCGAAGAGACTTTTCAGCCACTCTCCATCCTCAAGAGGACACTTTCGCTCGAAAGATGCCGGGAGGGACCGATGCCTGCGCATGCAGTCTGCACAAACGAGGAGGTGAAGCCAGCGGGAACACCTCGCAGGAAGGAGAGGCGTTTTTTGACGTCGAAGGATGGTGAGGTACGTCGCCCTTATCGTAGTTTTGCCGGCCGTTGATCCTCAATCAGCGCCCCCTGGCCCAGGACATCCATAAGTACGGCCATGGGGAGATGTTCTGGGGTGAGCACGTCGAGCACCTCGTCAATCGTCAAGGACTGCTTCACTGCGTGCGGTGGTGCCGGTATCGAGGTAGACAAGGTCTATCGACGTGATTGTCAAGTGATCAATGATGAAGGGAAGATGTGCGAGTTAATGCAGGCGGTGAGTGTTTCATTCGTCTGTTGTCGGGCGGCACGCTGAAGATGTATACTCTAGTACTTCCACATTACATGCATTTGGGACGCCATGGTTCTCAATAATCTCGTCCAACCACAGTAGCCCTAGCGGGAAACACGACATCGCCGAATTCACCGCGAAAGTACGTGTTCTTTGCTTCACCTTATTCTTTCTGTCTCTTTGTCGTTATTCTCCACCGATATGCCTACGTATATGCGGCTGTTCTGCGACAGCGAGTGTTCATGAACGTTCATGCCGGGCGAAATTTTTATCTAGATTTGTCCTCCATGTCGCCTCCCGATTTCTTTTACCTCGTATAATTCTCCATCGATGGGTGGAATTGTCCCTCAACCTCGCCGCTCCTCTTTCCGTCTCATCTTGGCCTTGTCTGTACTGGCATCTACGGCATCTACGGCCGTCTTCAGCCTTGACATACTTCGACGAACGGAGGATTCCAAAGCATTTAATTTTTATGTCCCGCCCCCTCATGAAAAAAAAAAAACATGTCTCTCGTTCGTTTCTTTTATTATATTGTCTTGATCGGGCATTCCATCACTTCGCCTTCACCGTCGCTTCATGCAGCTTTCGCTCTCTGATCTTCCTCTACCCACACCGCTTCGCACCTGCTAATGTCAACACTCTTCTCAGCTCAACCACCGTCGAATCTGTGACACTATCTTCGAAGTCTACCTGCGCAGAGAATCGAAACGTATCGTCTGCTGTGTACTAGACAAACGCGATCAGGTGATTTTTTAGAGTATTTATCATTTATCGTTGTGGTAATGTTGAATCCAAATCCTTCACAGCTTCCACGGGTGAATATCAACCTCGAGATGGCAGAAGAAACGACCTCGGCCCTTCTGTCGCCGATAAGCATCATTAGAGAATACGTCAAATATAAAGGTCTGTTCTTCGTTTCTTGATTATTGACCACTTGCGTCCTCAAATGTCTTCGTGCTAATTCTGAAAATCTCTAGACCCCGAACTCTTAGCCCCCCTCGAAGCAGACGCTGCCCTCACGGCGTCCGACTAGCTATAGAGTAGGAAACAAGGTCTGCCCGGCACCGGCACCCCTTCCATCTTCTCGGGCGAGTATCGTCCGCTCGTGTAGGTGTCAGACTATCAAAAGTACGGGTACTACATACGACGAGATGATTGTCCTAACGTGTTTTTCGAAGCATGGCGAGGACCTGACTTTCGCCGTTCATGCGTCTATGGAAAGGAAATAACTTTAGAATTGCCAATACCTTTGGCGCCGTCTTCTGACTGCTCTGCGTCTGCACCGATCGCAGCCCCCTGAGTTTAAGAGATTCGAGTCCAAACTCAATGCGGCCCCTGGCATAGAGGAAGAGAAAGACTCTACGAGTCTCTGGTCTGCGTCGGTTGCGTCGCTGTCTGGGGTCAGTGCGATAACTGTCGATTCTTTGCCGCCGCCGACGCAACGCCTATCTCCAGTCTGAAGGACTATAAGAGGCTCGTGCGTCCAGGGCGCCTCGCGTCGACATCAACCTTGGAATGATAGGACCTTTGTGCTGGTGTGGCCGAGGCGGCTCGAGCGAAGGGTACGGTGTATATGTGTGTAAGAAGTGGGGGTGAGCCTTTTATCCTTTCGCCGCAGCGCATACCATGTCTTTTCATCGCTGGATCCTCTTTTTCTTCTTTTCGCTGACCGACCTCCTCGAGGTCGTATAAAGCTAAAATCTGCGATTATCTTTGGCTATCACAAATGCTAATACTTTCCTCTGGTCAATTACCACCAGGAGCCCCCGATGAAATGTTCGAAGGTGCTTGGCCCGTGTTGACGTGGATGGCGAAGACCTATTCTCCCTCCTTCGTATCACAACGGTTTTCCAAAAACTAAGTGCTCAAGATCGTTCGTCGCACTCTTTTTGGCAGGCATTGCCACACCCGGCGAGCGTAGCCCAGATGCCGCCTACGCCCAGATTACACATTCCCGGTATCAATGGATGCTCGAGCAGGACGATGTTAAGCACTTAGGCGCGGATATTCCCTTCGCGAAATCCCCTTTCCAGATCTGTGTTGGCGTTGAACAAATGTACGACTCCTCCTCTCGTCAGCAAACTGTTACTGCCACGCTCCAGAGCGCCGTTGGCCCTCTCCATATCACCTTTCTGAGGACGGCTTCTTTTCATTGCCTCGAATATGCCCGCGGCGATGTGGAATTACCGTTTGTTTGGTCTGACTCTTGACGGTATGTAGAGAGAGCTGTTCTCTGGTGTATAAAATTTGAACTACCTTTCAGGTCGGTGTCTAGCCGGGAGAAATATATGTACACGGGTCGCTTCAGCCTCGCTGATTGATACTTCCGAGTTCCTCCCTCCTTTCGCCTCCGGTATAGATCAAATTTAATGAAATTGAACATGACTTATGTTGAAGGAAATTTATAAAAATTCTGTACGAAATTATTTCTCGCTGATGAATCATGAGAGGAAATTCATGGACGTGATCCTTTGCAGTGCGATGAAACCCAGTTGAGGCCTAGCATTTATCCCCCAGTCGCCTTTCTGGGGCTTTTGACGCGCTGGTTGGACGAGAAGGCTGGAGTTGTCACTTGGCGCGTAGGCACCGGAAGGTAAGGTGGCATTCTCGTACAATGAATTCTTCTGCAAACTCTGAAATAAAATTCTGAAAGCGAAGGGGTGATTGCGAGAGGTAGTTTAACTGTCCTTATGTGTCCGTATTCGATCATATCGTCCTCGAGGTAACTTTTAGAAAATAACTAACACCCCGACACTGTCCATTTTAACCTCTTCATCGCCTCAACTTTACGCCTCCGCGTGCTGGCCAGCACTTCGGGCGTCACTCGAACTGTTTCGGACCCTTCAACCCCTGCTCAACTATGCTCTCTGATCCCTCCGACCTCGACGTCGCTAATTCTCGCTCACTGAGCGGAAATGTGATAGGCGTCAGGTCTTGGTTCGGCATTGTGACAACACATGCATGGCACTGGTACCGGAGAGTGCTCCTGGCATTGAGGGATGCGAGGAGGGAATTGATGTACACTTCAGTAAGGCTTGAATGAGAAAAATAAGCGGACGAGAAGACGACGACGCACGTTTTCCGAGGGCGAGATAGAGACCCACGGTAATGAGCCTCTGGGGCCAGAGGGAATACTAGGACCTTTGAGCTTACGGATCTTCGGCGTAGAGAAGGGGTACGTACATACCGTGATTACACACGCCAAAGCACAAATGCTGCGATCGTCATAAAACGGGTTTCACCTCTTTGGAAAGGGAATAGAGTAGAAGGATGTCTTTACCTGGTGAGCAATCCTGAAAAGCCGCCCATTACTTAATGATGGGATGAAGATGTACCTGTGTTAATTGTGAAAGCCATCAAGAATGATACAATTGAGTCAGTCCTATGATGAAATGAGGGCCTATGGTCAGTACCTCCTCCAAGGCGACCCTCTACTCGGAAATACCTTGTGAATCCGGTCCGACTCCTAACGAAAACCGTGCACAGTGAGGTAGCAACAAAAGCATCAGCAATGACTCCACATAGAAAGCCAGTATACAGCAAAATCTCCAAAGAGTGAGCGCCGGTTCAATGTTTAGTTCCGGACTCAGTAACCAGCGCTTACTGATGCTTCGTTCAGTCTCTTGAACATCTTGACAGTGAATCTGACGATGAAGGATCAACCAGAGCATGGCATGGACATTTTGAGAGACTCGGCGAACCCTCGGGAAGCAAATACTGTCGGAGGGGTATTTAATTGGAGACCCCTACCAAATAGAACAGAGATGGATTACCACATCCGACCACTTTGCCACCAACTGAGTGCTCATCCAGGAAGACCCGGGTGAAGTCATCGACTCACCAAAGACAACGAGCGTCAAACTTACCTAAAAGGCATGATGGAGACTTTCGTGAATATCTTAGGTTGACGAGTCAGAGAGAAACCTACAACGACAAACAGCAGCAATCGGGAGAAGAACTTCTTCTCTCCGCACACTATCGGATGCAAAACAGTGTTTGCGATGAGGCTACGGATCGCACAAACAGGCACACTCACGAATGTAGACTCGCTTGGCGAAGAAGCTGAATCTGCGTCGGAGACTGGCTTTTAGCTCAGCGAAAGGAAAATCAACTCACCAGCGGACGATGAGGATGCTAAACGCCTATTCAATAATGTCAGGCCTTTCCGCTCCACCGAGTCTCCGAGATAGAGATGCGCACTGTCACGAAGACGCCAGCCAGTAACGACCTGCAATTCATATATCCGAGTTCAGCACGTCCATTATACGTATAAGCGAATGGACTTGCCACGCCGGGTATAGTAGAACTTCGAGATTCCCAAAATTTGTGACAAGATAGAAATACAATGCGTGGGCCGTTAGGGCCGTATGTATTGTATCGAGTATCCTGTGGTGCCGGTCCAGTCAATCTGCTATTTTGTCATGGGATAACTAATGTTGATACCAGAGGGATACAACCTATATTTTCTGTGTTTAAGCAACATCGAAGCTTAGATGCACTAATAAGCCCACGCTCACCATTACTTTCAGCCCTAAGCCATCCTTCCGAGTATCCACATTGTTGAAGTACAAGAAGGCTTGCACCCCAGTTACGCCGTAGAGCCTGGGTACGGGGCCACATTTCACTCTGAGAACTTCGAAGGAGAAAAAGGAACGCACATCGCAGTGGTCAACATCCCAAGAAAGGCGGCACCAAGGGTATTGTCGAGCTCGGCGGGCATCCTGGGTCTCCAAGTCGATTGACCGGCTACTGGAAGAAGGTTAGGAAGCAGAATAAAGCACCAAAGGACAAGAGACGCCTGGAATTTATTCGAAAAGCGAACACGGAGCAAATCTATAACCCCGACATCCTCCATTGAACAGCGTCTCTCGCATGCGTTCTCGAGGAGCCAGCGCTCGTAACAGGTATATCACCTGTCAAGCTTGCGTCATCAGAGTTGCCAAAGTCATTAAGCACTGAGTGTTCTCGACACCCGTAACGTCCGAGCGCCTGATGGCAGTCGAACAAAGTTATCGTACTTACAGATTCATCTAGCGCACGGGAAATCATGCCCGAGAAAGCAGTATTTGCCTAATTTAATCGCGACCCACACATGCCGCCGACGTGGTGATGCTCCAGACCCGCATGCCGATCCGAACCGCTTGAAGCAACAGCTTTACCTTCCAAACGCCGGTACTCAGGACCAGGGCAATGCAAGCAGGCATCAGTGACGCAGTTGTTGGGCGAACGGGATGGCCACATGCACTCCGTTTGAACCGGAGTAAGAATAGGCAATGGCCATCAGTAGCCGCCTACTTCGAAAAAATGAATCCACCATCAATCTAATGTTGCTTGTCTTGGGCTTCGTGCCACGCCCGGGTCGATAGATGAGGTATGCTGGCAGCTCATGATGGGGCTACTGTCGATCTTGGGATCTCCGAATGCATCGTACGAGTCAAGGGTCGATGGCCGACAGAGATAGCAGGTGGCTGATCCTCAGAAGACGCAGTGTGACCCAGAAAGCGACGGATACCGCAGGTCGAGCTCCTTGGAAAGCATGTGTGGTCGTGCGCCGTCGACGTCAGTCCCATAGTAGAGTGTCAGAGTAAGAATCCAATCTAACGGCTCCTGGGGGCATATAAAACAAGGCACGCGAGGGCAAAATTGTAGAGCCTGGCCACGGACGTTCGAATTGACGAGGCTCCGTAAAAGGATGAGCTACGCGTCCACCTCCTGCAACAGAAATCGTATTAGAAAATGTAAGTATAGGATACGTACATGAATAGCTTAGGCAAGTACGCGAGGAACTCAAGCGGCGGCGGCGGCGGCAGAAACTTGAGCGACTACGAAGAACAGAGGCATAGATATTGTTCCCAGAGGGCACAGACGTTCGAACCGTCCGCGGATGGCAGCAGCTACGTTCAGCCCCCACATCACCTGCAGTTGACGATATGGGTGCCAGCAGTAGTGAAATCTAGGGTGTAGAAGTAGTAAATGAGACGGGAGAGGCGGAATGACGGGTTTGATGCACCTGAGAGGTTCGTCATGGGGAAAGGGGGCGAGAAAATAAGGAGCTTTCGACGAACGATTCAGTCGCTAATTCACCCACCCAATCTACGGCGCCGGCGACGCGCTGCAGGCACTACTATCGTTCAATCTTACATTGGGAGTTGAGGCCCATACGTGCTGAAGGAGACGCGTTAGAGGGTATGATTTGCGGTATATAAGTTGGAAATTACCTTGTCATGCCTCAAGGCTGCTATTCGAGGATCAGAGTAGGAATCTTGCGAATTCTTTCCGCAAATAGGATGTTATGAGAGAAAAGCGCGAATAGCAGGCGAACGGTCGACACGGAACCATATGGGCGTGCTGCTGGCTCGAGCCGTCACTTCGAAGGACGATAAGCACCAACGAAAAGGCTTATCGTCTGTTCATCAGTGGCGAGGATGCCGCATCACTAGAGGAATTCTCCTTGTTAGACAATCGTCTTAACGATCGCACGTGCAGGAGCGAAGTTGACGGCATGAGAAGGAGCCTTCGAATGGCCTTCGGCTGGCGTAGGCTTCGATGCAATCGAGAAAGGCGAGGGAAAATTACTTGGAATTCCTCTACTTCGAGCTCGTTCGGAAGGGCGCTCATGCCGGTCATACGTTCTACGTGGTCCTTCAGTATCAGTGATGCTTAATATAAGGCTTAAACGAAAAGACGTACTGGCTGTGGGTGTCTGCGTGACTGCTCTCATCTAGCAATGCGTCACCTAGAGCGACGCTGCTACAGATCGACTCCCGGTCATGAGGCCGACCAAGGGTATGGGTTTCGTGTCGTACGTGTCTGGAAACTTCTGGACGGCGCGGGCGGTGGCGACAATGTCGGCCTATCCATGGGTGCCTCTGATTTCCCAGATTGTTTCCAGCAGAACCTTGATTCGAAAGCGTGTGCTGCGTGAAAAGGAAGAGTTTAGAGATATCAAAGGCAGTCAATGGTGATGACGAACCTTCGGCACTGCAGACCCAGAGACCACCCTCTTGTCCATCGAGCGCCTTGCTTTCACCTCTACCACCAGCAACCTTCTCCTTCTTCTCCGTAACAGTCTTTGGAATCATGAGCACTTGATGACGTTGAGAGCCTGCCAGAGTGCTGGCTAGTTGATCACGGGAATATGGGCGATATCCGCCTGGAGATGGTGCATTTCGACCAGTGCCGATGACTCCATCGTTGGTAGACGGCGATTGAGAGGTGGAGAGTCGGAAGGAAAGAGATATCAAATCGTTCGCACAGACGGTAGCTTTCCGATGTTGCAAGGAATGAGTATTAATGAATGGCGATTTTGTCCTCAGAAAGTCCTATTCCGAATGGGGCGGCCCCTCCTCGAAGCCAACAGAAAGCGAAGCGTGAAATGTAGCCAACGGACGAAAAGGAGGATGCCCAGATGGTGAGCAAGTTGTAAGAATTTCGGTCTTCGCTTGTGCGCTCACGTGCTGTCGAGCTTCGGCCGGCTGGTCCGAGACGCGTCTGTCGCATTACGGTCTGTCGCGTTGAGGTCCTACTGAAATAATCCAGCTCGAAATAAGGAGGCTATCCGCATATCTCCGCTTCGCCTCACGCTAATTTCACCGCTCTCGGTCTCAAATTTAATTTCCTATACTACATCCTGCTTTAAGCCTTGGTAATACTTCTCAATTTCATTTTATACTGAGTGTCGCACGGTTTTGTAGACAGCTAAACACGAAATACACTTAGGTCGCTTGGTGTTCCCCATAATTCGTGAATCAGTCGACAAAGTCGACAAGAAATATTATGTCTCGACGCCCAGATTAGACTAAAAGGATTACCCACTTCCAGGGAATACGGAAATACCCGACGAACCATGAGGCGGCGTGGGGCGGTGCGAATGGTCGGTGTGATGTGGCGCAAAGAAATCAGGCACAATTCCAAGTAAAAATGAGGCACATTTATTCTTCTTCGTTACAAAACTTTAATACGACTTAATTGAGTGAGCAAACCATAACTCATTCAAGAAAGATGAAGGCTTTGAGTTTGATTCCCTAGGCGTTGTAAGCCAAGTTGTTCACGGTGCCAGAGGCTATCGACCGAATGATGGTCAGGACGGTAGGGATAAGAGAAAGGAGACAACATACGAATGCCACTGAGAGCGCCCTTGAGACTGAGCGACTTGACGAGGTCTGGATAGCAGCGGGCGACCCGTTACCGCGAACACTGATCAAGTAGGCAACGAGACCAGCAACGTGGGGAGTCGCCATCGAGGTGCCGGAGATGCTGTTGGTGGCCTATTCACGAAGCGAGATGGTCAGAATTTCGTAGGCACCAATAGCAAGAATCCTCGTACGGTGTTGCTTCCGATCCAAGAGCTGATGACGTTAGCGCCGGGAGCGAAGACGTCGACGACGGCACCGTAGTTGGAGAACGAGGCGCGGGCATCGGCGATGGTGGAGGCGCCGACGGTGATGGCGGACGGAGCACGGGCGGGCGAGGTGTTGGCGGCGTTGGTGTTAGAGTTTCCGGCAGCGACGGTGACGTGGACACCTCCAGAAGTGAGCTATTTCAAGAGTCAGAGGTTGGACCGAGAAGGAAAGCAAGGACGTACACTGGCGACTGCACTATCGAGAGGGGTGGAAGCACCTCCACCGAGCGAGAGAGAGGCAATGGAAGGGCGACCGGTGGCACGAGACTGGGTCAGAACGTAGTTGAGACCAGAGACGCTAGATACAACATTGTCAGCATTCGAACATGATCAAAGTCCGAATGGCTTCATACATGTTGCTAACAGAGCCGGAACTATGTGGTATCATTGAGTCTCGTCGTTCTCCAAATGAGTATAGAGACGTACCCGGAGTCGCTGAGAACCTTAACAGCGATGATGTTGGCTGCTTTGGCGACACCGAATTGGCTTCCAGCAGCAGTTCCGGCGACGTGGGTTCCGTGACCATGGCCATCAGCGTTGCTAGAAGTAGCGGGCGGTCCAGCTTCAGTTACAAGACCAGCGAGGTAGAAATGTAGATATACTAACGCGTATCCTCCGAAAGTAGCTCCCCAGCGTGCGCGGCCTCCAAATTGCGACTAAGAGAAAGGTGCGAAAAAATACTGGGTTATCTCGGGGACGAAAGGACGGATTAATGAATACGTACGTGCGTCGTCAGAACACCTATTCAGAGCAGAAATAGAACAAATAGTGGATTCAGAAGGACTTCTTATCATATGAAACTCGGAAGCCCGGAAACGTACCAGTATCTGAGGGGAAATAGCACGTCAGGGCCCTTCATTCCGAGAAACAGCCGCGATAAAGAGCTCACCGAGGATGTAGATGTCGACACCAGAGCCAGCGGCGGCATCGTAGGTGTAGGAGAAAGTCAGAGAGCTAGAGAGGGGTGGTAGCATAAGTCGGGAAGGAGGACGGTGTGGATGAAAAGGCTTACCCAGTGCTGGTGCTCGTCAGGCGGGTAGCGGAGCTAAGGCGAGCAAGACCCCACGGCGCGTTGGTCTGAGTGACGAAAGCGTGCACGACTCCGTCTTCGGCGATGTATTCGACGTCATCAGATGCGCGAAGCTCGTTCAAAGTCGCATCGTCAAGTTGGGCTGCGGGTCAAAATCGCAACGCGTATTGTCAGCTATCCATCGCGTTCAGACACTCGGGAGGAGAGGAACGTACCGGCGAATCCGTTGAGGATCTCCCAATCTTCCGTAACGTTGCTCGACTTCCTGACTGAGCCGAGGACGGTGGACTTGGAGACGCCGTCCTTGAGCTTGACGATGTACTTGCCGGTGGTCTCACCGTCGTACTTCTCGACGGTGCGGAGGGGAGTCACCGCTGCGAGGGCGGAAGCGGCGAGGACCGAGATGTAGACGGAGACGGCGAAGAAGCGCATTGTCGATTGAGGAGGAGAGCTCGAGCTAGACGACCTTGGGAAGGAGGGCTGCTGTTCGAAGACGAAGATTTGAGGTTTTTATACAATCCTATTCTCTTCTCGAAGCCAGAAGGTGAGTTTGGCCAAGACGAGGGAGCGCATGGCGATTTTATTTGAGAAAGCGTTCAAGACGTCCAAGGATGGTGTGCTTTGGGCTCGGAACATGGAAATTTCGACGTATGAGCGCTGTTCGAAGAGGAATGGGTCGAAAATCCATGTGCGAGGGAGGTCCTGCAGACACAACCCACATGCACCCGGTCCAAATACGCAAAACATCAACACATTGACGAGATACGGGGCGGCCAGATGATGTAGACGCACGTAGAACCGTCTTCTCGATGCAATTATTGGTCGAGAAGAGGTAAGCAGAGTCACTCGACTCCCCGTCGCATGGACACCCCGAGAACCAAGAACAAGGAATAAACAAGTCAGTCCTGGGTATCCCAACGGTTTGAATGGACTATGCCAATCGAGAAACGGCATGCCAGCACATGAAGAACGGACACTGAGCTTTCCCAGCGACTGATACGGTCGAGTATCTTTAGCAACAGTTTCTCGATAGAAGCTCGCCGCGCCGCGCACAAAGACGACCCCCCAGGTCATCGTAGATGAGATCAACTGATAAGAAGAGACAGGTTCCAGCATCTGCGCCGTAACACCGAGATGACGAACAGGGGAACGCATGGAATGAAATTTAAGCTTCGATGTCAAGTCTGAATCTGTAGAAGAGCCAAGGACATGAGTCTCAGAAACAACGGAAAACGTGATCCGACTGCTTGAAAAGTCACGGGCGAGACATATTTCGCAATTATGAGCGATGAAGACGTACGCTGATCATCAATTTAAGACACGAGCATGCGTGAGAGAGGTGGGTAGAGTCTCGAAACGTGAAAATTCACCTCTATCCAGGCCGGAGAGTGTAGTGTGGCCAATTCCGCTTCGAAGAAACGACATCGCTGGGGCGGGATGAATCCAGTTGTTCCGGCCGACCCTTGCCGACCCTCGGTGAACTTATCTGCGCCAAGCATACAAGTTGAACAAGAAGCTAAAATTAAGGGTCCTCCTCATGGGATTCCTCCAAGGTCGAGGCCACAAATAACACATATCAGGCTTGGAAGACGAAATGCACTCACACGTTGGAGCGTTATCAACAAGACGCAAAACGAGTCGTCCGAGAAGTCATCAGAGACTCGCAGAAGCAAACTTGATAAAGAAACTCAAAAGTAGACAGGACACAGTCGCGTGAGCCATTCGGATTCCCAGTCTTGAGACAATCGATTTGAAAGAGGGAGAGACGGCGAGAGGTCGACAGATGCGTGTTAGACTGGAACCGATAGAGAATAAGAACGCAGGCCAGCCTCATGGCAATATAGAGGACTCCTTGAAAAGACATGGCCAAGCTTTCGTACTTGAGAACTTGAGGTCTTGGGTTCGAAGGAGGCTTTTCAATGGAGGTCGTTGTCGACATCCGAAGAAATCAATCACATCGGTCGATCACGGACGGGGGATGCCGGCGGACTTTCAAAAACAGGCTGGGCGTCGAACTTGAACGGTCGTTTCCTCTTCTCTGTCTTACAACCTAACCCCCTCTGAGAGCCATTCACTTTCAGCATCGAACAATTCTCAATCATCTTCTTCCTGAGTATTTTGTTTCTCTTATCTGCTCATTAACCAAACACTTACGTCAATATTCAGAGCTGCCTGGAGCACTACATCGAATTCGACGACATGTTGGCGCTACTGCGTTATGCTGCCCCTTCTGCGGAAATTTGGCCTTTCTCCCGCCTACGTTTACGAGAATCTGTCGAATCTTAAAGATCAGGCACACCGTGATCGCGTTGTTGCCTTTAAAGGCTCTGACTTGTATGCCGTAGAGTAGGCGGCGAAGATTTCCCGAACGCCATGCCTAGTCTTCCGAGGCGCGGAGAGAACCCCGAAAGGTGAGTTCTACTTCTCCTCGATTCATGAAGTGCTGAGCACCTTGGCGTCTCCAACCACGACTTCTTTCATAGGGATCTCGTCGACGGCACCGACGCAGGAAGACGGGGTTAGCACTCGAAGAGCGAGATGCGGTGCCTTCGAATGTCTAAAAGCCAGGGTCAGTGCCGAGAACTGGATTGCATCGGATTAACTATCGCCTCAGATCTTCTCAGGTACCCGTTTTTCTTCTCTTTTGACCTCGGTCGATGTGTATCAAGGGCACGTCATACATGCGTCGCTGATGATTTATACCAGGAAATGTCTTATAGAGATTACCCTGTGAGTATAAGCACCTCTCGCCGACCAAATTGGTATATTCCTCATAAAGAGGCTCGACTCAAGATGGCCCTTTGGGACGTCCTTTCCATGGCTACCCCCTCAACCGAAGTACAGGAATACATTGACCGTATCCCTTCTACCCGAGAGATGACTCTGGCTGCCAGAGGTGAGTGTTCAATTCGTGACAGGCGTGCAGTCCTTATTCTGACACCGGTTATTTGATGTTGCCTGATTATTTCGCGGCTTTTGGGTGCGGCGTCGTTGCTAGGACCTCCGACCCCGTCTCTCCTGGGAAGCTGTGCGAGCAACGCGAGGCCTTAGGTTTTCCCTCGAACCGTGGACTCCTCTCCACTATCATGCGGCGTCGACCCCAAAGGAAGGATATGTCTCTTTTTCCGCTTCGACAAATTCTGCGAAGTCGGCGCTCACCTTGGCAAATTTTCAGAGTCAGTCCGAAACTCGCTATAGAGCGTCTACCCGTACTGCCGACCTCCGTAGGATGTACAGCAATTTGTAGCGTCAAATACACGGGCGATACATATCGCGCCTCAGTCTCATTCGAGTTTCGTCAGCACCCTCACTCAAGAGCTAACTTAAGACTCCGCGCACGCTTTCTCGTCGCAATCCTTCTGGCGCTTTCTGTAACACTAGGAACATCGTCGACGAGACAGAAACAAAGAGAGAAATTGCGACTTCTCGCACAGATGCTATACGAAAAGGCGCACGCTGTGAGTGCTCAAGTTTCATTCTTATTTGCGCGTTTAACTCTCCGGGTTGATATTAGACCACCAAACCCCGCGGCCTCTGGCTACATCCCCGAAACTGGCCGTTGGTCGTTCTCGGCTCTTCCCTCTTCTGACGCGTATCGTCCTCGACGCTATGTGACAACAGATACTGCCTTCACTTCCCTGGTTTTCTCCTCAAGCTGCGACTCAGTGAGGTTCATTCCCTAATCGCCAGCTCACGCCGGCTCAGATAACTCTGTGAATGGTCGGAACCACGGATTTTCTGCGATAGGCCTCGTTTTCAGCGAATCGAGGTCGTCCATTTCCCATCTTCGTCGCTGGCGCATCACCTGAGAAAGATAGATACAAGCACCTCTCCTTCGGCTAGAGTACAGCCGAACTTCTGGCGCATTTATTCATGCTTTCGACCGACTGCGCGCAGAGCGGCATATCCTTCTCTTCCCTTGGTAGGAGTACAGAGAATGGGTTATCTAGTAGTGGACCGAGAGCGTTTCCCCCACCTCTGCATGCTTATCGCCTCCAAAGTCAGGTCAGGGCTTTGCGAAAGGTTCAAATATGCTGCGATCATCGACGAGCCTCCTCATAATCGATGGAGTTGCCAAATGTGAGAGGATGAGTGGTAAGAAAGTTGCTCAGCTTCGAGGAATACAATGAACGCGATCGAAGGTAAGCAAACTAACGCAATTCCTGCGTCGGGACCGTCTGATTTTTACTATGCCCATTTGGTTGGCATATTTTCTTGGCCCACCGAAGCGCAAGGGAAGCGTAGCGCTGTCCGTTGAGGAGGTTACCCACACGTACAGGGTCGTGAATGAACGTGAGGAAACGAGCCTTTGCAGTATCGACGATGGTGGAGGTCCGGAGAAGAGCGCCGAAAGGTGCAGTGTGGAGCCGTCCTTCTCGCGCAGGTCGGGCGAGAAATAAGGGATGAGAGGATGCAAAACGCTGTGACGAATCACCTCGAGATATGAATATCTGCTAGGCGGACACTCGTACATTCAATTTCGGGTTGTGATTGAAGATGAGAGAGGTAGGAAGAAAAAGGATAATGATACACCATAAATCGCGGTGTGCTCTGCACGTCAAAATAACGCCGATCCAGCAATGTTAAGGCCGGCATTCTGGTACTCCTCAATAATCCTCTCGTCCATCGGTCCTAGTGGGCAACTATATCGATTCGAATCTCGCGCGAACAAATCATTCAAGCGCCTAAGGTATTCATCAAAAATCTAGAACCAATCTAAGGAACCACTCACAGCAAGAATGAGTTCGTTGATCGTATCCCCCATGACTCAGGCGGCGTCTCCTTTGCCGCCTTCTTCGCGTCCTCGAACTCTTCAGGATCAATACCAATAGGGGACACGAATACACACATCCCACGCCACTGGAATTGGACGAGCACCGCAAGCGCCTTCTCTCGCCCATGCTTGTCCAGAAACGCGCGATACTTATTCCATATCGCCAACATGTTCGTGTCCAAAGTGTGCTTTTTCGTGTCGGAGGCATCGATAAAGCCGGTGATGCGAACACCGCTCGCGATACTCTTCTCTGTAAAAGGTTTTGCGGACGAAGGTTGGTTGGGAAGGCGGAAGAGAGAAAAGAAATCCGGCTCGTGTAATGGGTGGAGAATGACGAGCGCGACGAGCACCCAGAGTTTGCGGTGGTCAGGCGGGGCGCCATGGTCTTCTAGAAGATTGTGCGCGAGGGCATATTGGAGGGCAAGGAACTGGCGATCGTCCTTTTGTAGACGAAGGATGGATTTTTGCACGAACTCTCGTTGCTCGTCCGGTGGAGAGCAGGCCGGCTTATGAGTTGGCCTGAGTGGGAATCGTAAGAAAAATAACAAGAGAAGACGGTGAATAGAACACACCAATCCTTCTTTTGACACTATGAGAAGGAGTGAATTCGAAAATTCGCCTTTACGGTCGAGCCAAAGACGTACATCTCGCGAACAGTAAAGGCTTGTCCTGCACTGGGAGCAACGGTTAAACGTTAAGACTCCGGTAAGCAGCATCAGACTAAAGAGCTCACCCTTGCGCATTTCTGCAGTGTCCTCTTATCCTTTGCATAGTTCTGGCAATAATTGCAAGATATCTCCAGCGGTATGCCTGATGCGCTCATTCCTGCCATTTCATGATCGTGGTTCGGGAAGAAGTTTGTCCGGAAATTGCCGCTAGGAATTCCGTCGCCAAGCACAGACAAAAACAGGAACAGCCCGTCACCACCTCCAACTGGAATCCTGGCAGATAGACGCGCCGTCGATACACGTTACTTATGAGCATGGACAGTTGCGTTGTTCCGAGAAAAAGGAATTCATGGAAGGCTATTTGTTCATGGAGATCTGATACAAAGTAGAGGGGACAATGAGGAAAAGGAAGGTTTCGCTCATGGCGGTAGTCCTGTGGCCCATTCTCGATAGATCTCCTTATCGAGTGGGCTAAGGTCGCAGTGTGCAGGCTCTGCAGCCAATTGAATATTTATGCGCCTAATACACTCGTCATCACGATGGATGGAAGAGATGGTAACTTGGGACGCACCGGAGGATAGTGGTGTTCGTATCTACACCCCATGGTGGCACGAATGAGGACCCGAGCTCGCGTTCGGCGTTAGAGAAATCGCTCGCACCGATCTCGACCGGCGCGATGAAGATGCATATTAGTTCGTAGGCAAATTGAACGAGGACGGTGAGAGATTCGGGACGCCCCACTGATTCAAGCATTTCACGATGTTGCCTCCAGTACTCACGAAAGCGCCCGTTGAGGGGATAGAGCTTGGGGTCTGACACGTCCATGACGCTGGTAAACGTGGCAACACCGGGCATCTTGACCTCCGCGAGAGACTCGAGGGGAACATCCCTCGACATGAGGGATTTCAGGTGTTCATCATTGGCGGGCTTGAGTACCAAGTTGGCGACGGCGATCCAGATGCGCTTCGGATCGCGAGTTTCTCGTAATATGGTACAGGCGATGGCAGTTCGTAAATTTGCAATGAGCCCCTCGTCTTTTTGGATCTTGAGAAAGAGTCTACTAACGTAGTCCCGTTGCGCCGAAGCAGGTGTGCAGTTAGCCCGATGTCTGGCCCTATAGGCCTGTAAGATTCATCATTATCGATGTCGGGATCGACGCACCAATCCTTCTTCTGGCACTATGAACAAGGTAAAGGGGCAATCAACTTCGCAATTTATGGCGATAAAATACCTCACGAGAGCAATAAAACGCAGATTTGCACTAAAGTGAGGGGCTAAGGATATGTCAAACACATCGAGTGGCTGCGCATCGCACCTTGGAACACTTCCGGAGAGCCTTCTTGTCGTCTGCGTAGACTGAACAGAAGGTGCAAGAGATCACAATCTTCTGCGGGTTCGTGCGATCCTTCGCCCTCTCACTGGAATCGCCCATTGTCGTAGATCGTGGTGGTGGTAAGAGGTAAATTTTGTGCACGACGATTGGCATGTTTGGCTGCGATTAGATTAGATAAGATCTTCAACAGTCCGAACAATGCCCGATGCTCTGCGGCCTCCCATGCTACTGAGCCTTTCTGAAATAAATAGAAAGGAAGTTTGTCGTTCTTCCACATGCCTACATTCAAGTTGGGCGAGGAACTCTTGCGTTAGAACTTAGAATTATCACCGTCTAATTGAAGTCCTTCGTCCTCCCCCGGACTGGGCAGTGGGCATGCTAGGAAAACTCGCGTTATAAGCTCTAGAGAATTTCATACGTCAATTTCCTCTCGGGAGCAACAAATCAGAGTGACGTCCAATTATTAATTTACCTCCATCTTTCGGAACACAGATTCTCTTAGAAACCTTTAATCGCGCTCGGTCATAATGAGCCGCATTTTGGGGTTCACTTTATTCGCGATCGAGTGCTTGATTCAACGATCTAAGACGGCCATCAAATATATTGTTTCGCCAAGAATGGGGTCGCATGGATGGGCGTAGACAACGGGAACCACGACACGTATCTTCTCTCGATCGTGATTCACGAATCACCCGCAGCTCAGATGCGAATTGTCGAGCTATCGTGACGCGAAGAACCTCCGTGAAACTACCGTACTGTGCACTTTCATGAGGACACGCTTGACGTTCTCGAGCTGCTTGTAAGTCGGCTTGCAGTTGGGTTTGTGCATCGACCTGAATCGAGTCAATAATTGAAGAGCTTAAAGTAACAGGCGACGTACCAATCGCGTTTCTGACACTTTATCGGAAACCCTTGTAGGTGCCCAGGATCAGGGGCAACAGAAAGCATCCTTGTACTCTCAAACCATTGAGTGGAGCCTCCTTTGCAGTTGAGTTCATCGTGGTCTAAAGGAAGGTGTGAGATGAGCACCGTCTACACGTGTCTGGGTGTGAGAATCTGGTGGATTCCCTCTTCTCATATACTCGGCTGGATGGTGTTCCCATATTGATGAGGCAATGTCAGACGCCCTCGGGGGATGTCATCTGCTGTAAGATTGCGGCCAATGGATGCGGCCAGCACGGCCGCATCAAACAGGTGGGCTGTCCGCTGCTTGGAGCCGCGTGTCTATCTGTAATATTAGACTCGAAAAATCTCATCACGTTTTTCAGCAGCGACACGCACGGGAGACTCCTTCGGTATACTTACTAGCACACCACTTCTCATATAGGGCGATGTCTACCTAGGTCACTCGCGATACTGTCATGAAGAACAGCTGAACGTCATGTTGGCCCTCTCGTACTGTACACCTGTCTATCTTTGTGCGCGTTTTCACAGGCTGTATTACGATCAGGCCGTAGAGGGCCAATCGCTCACTTCTCTTGCGGCAATTCTAGCGCCTATCAGGCAGACATTGTGGCCCCATCCATTGGGGCCAGCTTCTGTCTCAGTGTCAATACGGCCGTGTTGTGTGACCTTTCGCCGCAGGATATTGATAGAAGGTACCTATATTTGGATACTTCGCCGCAGGGCGGTGTCGGCCCCATGAACACACGTTTGATAGCGCACAATGGATGCTTGTCCAGCGCCGCAGATTTCCTCTGTAGACTGCACTAGACTGCACTTGAGCCGTGGTTCATGCTTGAGCAAAGGTGTTTCAGCGTCGGAGTGTCTTTTATTTGATTTCAAGCGCCCGTGCCCCAACAGTTTATCAGCCCAGCACAATTTCGGACATCAGGCTGCGGCCGTGCGACGTTTATTTGTGACAGGCCAGGGCCCGATAGCTTGTATTTGGCCCCATAACTGCCTTCCAGATGTGAGAGAACCACAGTACGCTACTCAGATGCATCCCAATTTATGGCGAGGGCGAGGGCCGAGGGCCCAAGAGCTAAGAATGCCGTGAGAATAGTAGGGTTCGACCGTATAAATATCGCGCCACCCACCAGGTCTCTCTCGCAATACAAACACGTCTCCGTCATTCATCATGAGCGCTGCACTATCTCGCCGTCAAGCTAGCCTACGGCGTTTTCCCATATACGTGGATACAAAATTCTTTGAACAAGCCACCACGACAACCATCACGGGGACCACATTTAATTTAGATTTCACGATAACATGTCCGTGCATTTATGGCTGCCAGGTTCGTTTTTATTTGTCGACGAGTGACATAATTAACCTGTTGATTTCTCCGGGCATCTCCCACAGCTTCCTCACGGTCATACTTTAAAACATGGCATTTCCGAAAGGAAATCCCGGCGTCAACGTTCATAACAAGATGGCGCGGTTGCGCCTCCTCTATCAACGATATATTCCACTCGTGGTTATCCCGCTTCGTGTGTGTGTTTTCGACGGGGTGATTCCTTCTCCATTGAGTAAGTCCGTTCAATGACCCCCAAATCTCTAGAGAAACGAAGCTAACAGACATAAAGCTAACAGTTACTGACATGCTAGTGCCATTCCCTCAGGACTTCCCCACCACGGGTAGTGAATAATTATTATACTCGGAAATGATTCTGTCAGGGCACCTCTATGTTTCACCGCCGAACAATCAGCGCCAAGTACATAAATTTCCGATGTGGATAGAGACATAAACGGAGGCTCACAAGGAATCCATCCGCTTCGGTAGGGGAAAAATAATCCGAGAACTCGAGTTAGTCCTAAAGATTGGCCTTTAATTACGCCGACTTGACAGCTTCTAAGGTCCAGCGCCTTTTCCAAAAATGCGTCGCGAGGGCAAGTCAATCATAAAGGCACTGCGCAAATATCTTCGCGAATTACCTCAAAACCATGGAGGTAGTACCAATCCCCTACTTGCCGCTAGAACGTCCGTGTGCCGTTTAGCAGTTTTCATAGGGGAGCGACTAAATAGATTGAAATTTGAGCTACTTATTGCCCAGATATTGTTCCAACTAGCTTCCCAGCCCGCCGATCATACTACAGGATCTGCCATCTGGGAATTTAGTGTGCTATACCTGGAGCTGTACCCTGAGTCCCAAGCGCCGCGAAGCGGATTTAATCTTGAATTTACCCTTTAGATGTTTCATAGTTTATCTATGAGACCTATCATATTATTGAGAACTCGCTAGGAAATAGCTATGCGCCACACCGTCAGCCCCGGGCCGACATGTGCCGGGGTTGTCGGAGGTCAACCAAGCACGTGCACGGACCCTGCGAGTGGGCATTTTCGTCAGCTTATTCAATTGCCGTCTGCCCTATCTCTTCGTTCCACCATCCCCTCTTGTATTATCACTGTACTCTCTACTTATCGTTGACACGCTCGAGATTCAACCCAAGGGATTGAAGCTCTCGACAGTCGCCACGAACGAATTGCACATAGCTCAAGGGTGGAAACACGGACACGTTCGGAGGCTGCCTGAGGGCATTCTGTTGACAATTGTCTGTAAGCTCTTTTCTTCCCTTCTTCGATGACCTTCTGTGTGTTCAGTTCTCGGAAGGCAAGATGGATCCGCAGGGGAGAAACGGCGGGGTAGATCAACCATAGATGGACGGGTGGCGATCGACCAAGCGCAGATGTGCCACGCTTAACTGCCTCCTCCGGCACATGCGCCACTCTCTGCGGGCGCTTATATAGCATCTCTGAATTGCCTAGCTGATGAAACCCCTTCATTCGCCATTTTCCTTTCACAGGTCGTCTTTCCGCTATTTTGACTGAATCACCCTCCGGTACTGCTCTACATGAAGCCATCTTCGTCAAAGGCACCACCAGTCGCTCCAACCACGGTGAAGGACAAGAAGAAAGCCACTTTCCCGACGACGTGTACGAATTGCTTGAACATCCCGTCGGATAAGAAGGATCTGCAGAAATGTGCTAGGGTGCGTCGCGCAGATTCGTCAATCGTGTCTTTGCTTGCTCACGTCCGTCACAGTGTAAAGCAGTCTGGTATTGCTCTCGAGAAGTACGTTGCCACTCGCCCCTCGTGGCCCCCAAATCTAAAGTCGCACCGCGTCCGTTTCCGCTCATAGTGCCAAAAACAAGATTGGTGCGCATATACCCCCTTCGTCGCGCAATCGTCTCTCATCAACCCGTTCTCTCTGCTCCAGGCCCGTCCACAAGGTTGAGTGCTGCGATACGCCGTCCCAATTCGGCTTCATCTTCAAGATGATCCTCAACATCAACAAGGACGACCTCCTCATGCACAAGCTCCGACTCGCCGCCGCCCACCAACTCCGCCCCTTCCTTACCTCCCCCACACGCCCCGACCCCGCCACCTACGTCCTCAACGTCTCCTTGGTCCTCTGCCTACGTCCATGCGCTGAAGAAGACTTCACCGCTCTGCGGACGCGGAGGGACTCGATCGCACCACTTCTCGCGAAGGAGATGTACGGCGGCCTGCGGTTCATCGACGTGGTCGACACCTCCGACCTAGAGAAGTACCCCATGGCACCCGTTGCACACGAACGATTCCTCGATCGATGGCGGAAGCACCGCGAGTTCCTGGATAGGCAGGGGAAGAGGGACACGTACGCGGTCCTGCTTCAGTTCAACTACAACTCGAAGTCGGTGTATCTGACGGATATGGACCTCCACTCGAACGATTGCCAGGAGGCGCGGATGATGGTATACCAGAGCGCGTTGGACGGGACGAGGCAGTGGAGGAGACCTGGAAACTCGATATTGCGGTACGCTATGGCTCAAGCTTCAGTTCTTGACCATGTTCGCTGATGGGACGCTAGGCTCATAAATGCCGATTTCGCGAGACAGGAGCAAGAGGTGACGAAGCTGCGATGCGTCATGGGCGACGAAGATAAGCAGACCATCAGGGACTGTGCGTTGTATGCAGCGGAGTAAAGGTTGTACGATAGTCTTGTTTCTGGTAATCGAATATGAATATTTTTTGTTCGACCGAGCTAGAATGTTGACATTTGTCTTCTTTCCTCAGGAGAAAAGGAATTGCGACATGATGGCGACGTTATTTGTGACAAATTGTTGGGCCCCCCGCCACGAGAAAAGTCCGTTTCGCTATCCTCCGGACCCGGAGCCAGTCGGCGAGCGTACCATCATTCGTCGGAACTCGACTGGCACTCTCCATATCCTTGTTGATGCCGGCTGGGCGTAAATTTACCTCTGCCTGCGGCACTCTGGCGCCGTAGTCCTCCCCGATTCTGTTTCTCCGTCATCGATAAACTCCTTATCGATGGCGAGAAGGCACAAAAAGGTGTGAAATGATGGTAGGCAGTGTTCGGCATACCTGTGCCGTTTCTAATGAGCCGCTAGTCATTGGCTGCGCCGAACGGCGTCTTCCCGTAAGTTGTCAAGCGGAGATGATGGTAACCGGCGAAGTCCTTCAACCCCCTTTAAAAATATACCAGTCTTTTTCGCACCCCCAGCACCTCGGCGACGCACTCAAAGACCAATAAAATCTCTAGGGACGAGATTGGGATGAGAGTCGTTATAAACCGACCTCCTGGAAGTGGGAGGGACGGTCGTTTGGAATTCTTCGCTTTTGAGGAATAAATTCGCCCGCAGTTGGCTGTATGTGGAAGATGGTAAGGAATTACGTACGGGCGGGAGAAGGACGAGCGTGTGAGTTCAGTCGAAAAAAATTGAAATCCCGCTAGATATGTAGGTTTTCGTCACCGGCGAGTGTGACATTTTCCCCAATGGCTTCAAGCGACCAACCATTGTTGCCTACACATTACACCAGTTCCGGGACGACAATCTTCCCTCAGGCTGCAGGTGTGGCCGTAAACCATTCAACGATCATGGTCGTGAATAACAATACTTGTATTAATCTGTGCGGTTTCGAGGTAAGGCTTTGTTGTGTATTTCTTCAGTCACACGTCTAACTTCGGCCGGGTGTGCTGAGTGGGTGAGACGAAGTTCATGCAGTTTCCTATCATTTCTTAAGAAGGCGGTGAAATCGGTGGCCGGTATACTCAAAAGGGCCTTCGGAAGGGCGCAGAGAGGAACCAGGGAGTAAGGGAAAAAATTTGGTCCAACAGTAAGCCAGGTTCGCCCTTTGGCCACACCTCTAGGCTCTGAGCCAGTTCCAGGAGAATCCACTGCAAGTCGAGAAGACCGCCCTGGGATGTCCAGTGGACTGCACCATACCGGATTCTCTGCTAGGAGTAGTTTCGCGCCTGCTTATTGTCTATTTCACCAGACACAAGTGGATCGTTTTCTCGTGCTTGTGTCTGGCGAAATATACGCATCTTCTGACAGTAATTCACGCTAGAGACTTTCCGTAGCAATTTTGAATGGTAGACTTGTTTCCGGTGAAGCGGCATAGAGGCGCGAGAATGAGGCAGAGCTATCGAAACGACGGGATTTGGTGACCAATGGCGGTGAGCGAGACGCGTCACGATGACGGTGCCACACTAGCACTGCCCACCTTGCTGCATCGAAAGAGTGGAACGGAAGCCATAGGTACGTCGTCACTGAGAGATGATGGTGAGATCTTGAGAGACATTCGACTGCAGAAGCGAGACGCCCGGAGTGCAGAGGAGCGAGGGTTCGCTATGAAAGAATTTCAACTCGTGCCCCGCTTCCCTCGTCTTCAAATCGACGCACAACTATATTCCGAGAAAACGGGCTGAAGGACAATATACACCATTCCGACCCGCCTCTCGACCAAGCGTCGAAAGATACGACAAGTCGCCTCACGATGGCGCTATTGCCGGTGTCCCCGACGCTAGTAGGAGGTAAATTGTCAGGCGTATTCGGGCGGCACCCGCAAACAAATGCAAAGTGAAACGGGGTGTAAAATGCCTATATAAAAACTTAGCGGCTGTATAGTAACTGTGCTCGAGTGGCGGCATCCCGGCCCGGAGGAACCCGGAGCACAATCCACACGAACCATGACAGTTGAACGAAGTCGAAGAGCGAGCCGTGTGGGGGCAGAAACACGAAATCTGGGGCTCGGAGAGTATCTTCAGATAGAGAATCATGCATAGGATAAGGAGGAGTCGCCTTCAGGGAGAGAAACCCGCAGTCTTCTGGTCGACGTGGCGAGACTACAACGACTGCACTAGCACAAGGATACGAGTGTCGCTGCCCATGCCCACAGAAAAGAATAGTCCCTGAGCAACAGGTTTCGAGGTCGTGTGCACCTTGGATTCATTGAGTGAAGCACGAAGTTGAAGGAGAATGTTGATCGCGAATTCAGCTTAGAGACGGCGAACCTCTCGTTCTCCCGAGCACAAGAGGAGAAATCAGGGTCTCTATGACTCCGTAGATTCCCCTTGGACGGCAGAGAGAATAACGCGGAGACCTGGAGTGCTGCAGGCGACCCAAGGGCGACGGTGAGACCGTCGGTACCATCAAAGGGGCGAAGCAACGCTGTCGAGACGACCGAGATGTCCCCAGTAGTAGCCATCCTTTCGTCGATTCGAGGAGCTTCGCAGTAAGAACGGAAGTCGAGAGCCGGGGTAGCACTTAGAAGAGGGGATCGGTCATTGAATTTATGAAGGTGTCGTGTGTCGAGGTCAGAAGATGATGACGGTCAAGAGGGAAAGACCTTGGAAAATTCCGAAGCTAACGTCGAAAAATATTTATCTTGATTTTACTGATTTATTTCAGCACTTATCAGAAGTGAGTCGTTTCTAGTTCAAATGTGGTAATTTGGACTGATTGTTGAGCAAGGACGAATGCCAATTTAGGGAATTATTTGCCCCATTTCGAGCATAAAGGGAACACTATTCCGGGGGGTCTGCCACTTGCATTGCCGTCCAACTGGATCTCGCGACGAATAGAGAACATACCTAACTGCTGAACCATAATTGGCCACTCTATTAGTTGAAGAATCTCGCGGGGCCGGCATGTAAGTGGATCGTCACCGATAGGAGTTGTGGGTCCGGAAAGCTATGAGCGTATTCCGAAAGGCTCATCAATGATCATACGCAAGGGGGGCCATATTTCGATACATCTACGGGCATTGTCCAGGGCCAGACTGTCATAGAATGTCCCTGAAGCCAATCTATCCCACCAAGTAACTCTTAAAAAATCGTGCACTGAGCACTCGTCCATGGAAGAGGCAGCAGAGCGATTTGACTTGAATCCCCGAGGTAGATAAGGACTAGCGCATTTGGGAAGAAAGCCAAGAAAGGCGACATACGAGAGCACATCATGTCTATGCATGGCCCATGACAGGTTATGCGAACGCGGAAGATAGGAAAGACGATTTTGAGGCCATATATCTGACGCACAGGAACACACGTCTGGTCTCTCGTAGTGCTCGACCCATTCACACTCGACGCGACGAGCATTGGAGAAGTGGATTGAAAAAAACGCAGTCATCGTGACTGACGCCAAGAAGAGCGCAAACGTAGCTCAAACTGGGGTAAAAGGAGGATGGTCGACGAGAATCTCCACACCTGGACCTGGATGACGATAGGGAGGCAAGAGGAATATCACAGAGACGACAGAGACCACCCAACGTAATGGAAAGCAGTTAAGTGGTCAACGTAAGGCAAGTCCTCCAGCGCTGAGATGGCGTTTGGGTACGGTGAGGTAGGTGATTTTGAGTCTGATAAGCTAGGACTGCGATTGGAACACAGAAGATATCACCAATCGTCCGCGCACCTCTCGAACGTCCATCTAACCATCCGCACTTCCCACCGTTTCGCCGATTCCAGAGGAGTGGCAGCAGAGTCTAAGTCCCACAAGGATCTGAATCATGTATTAGCGGTGGAGATCGTGAGAGTGGGGAAGACGAACATTTGAACAGAGTGTTACCCTCGAGAGGTAACAGGCAGGGGATGACTAGAAAACAGAGCCCGTCATCGAAGAGAACGATGCAAAGGCGGATACGGGCCATCAAGTCGACAACGATGAGGGTAACTTGAAAGTAGAACAATTATAGCGAGTTCGGAGTGTGGCGTGGGGTCGTGGTCCGAGAAGAACATGCAGTGAACGGGCTTCGGTTCGCTGTAGTTGAACTTCCCATAAGGGATTCTTATAGCCGATGGTCGAGGCGAATCACCTCTTTTCCTTGCTCCTTCCATGTGCGAGCGGCCTGATTCGAGGGTATGCCGAGGAAGTAAGGGGGGAAATCGTGTGACAAACATTGAACAAGCGACAAACGGAGGTCGGCGCTCCTCCGAAACGATCGGACTGGCCTGCCGAAATCTTCTCAAGCAGTCGCAGCTAGTGTCTTCTCGACAACTGAGGTAGTTGCAGGCCAGAAGATATTTTGAAGCTCGTAGCCATATAGTGTATTTCGCCAAAGATCGTCCTTGCGGGTTGTTTGCTCTTCAGATAGGCTCCGACTCTGGAGCTTCAGGCGACTAGTGCCTCGGGCCCCTGGCCTGTGAATGGTGTGTACAGCACGTCCGCTCGCCGTTCCGTGGTGGAAAAGGGTGGAGGTGTTCACTCTCGAGGGCTTAAATCTCCTGGGCTCGCTTGCAGCCTGCATCTTTCGCCGTCTGAAGTATCGTATTCGGTGTTGTAGGGGGTGCGTCATTTTATCTCTCCTCTCCTCACTCGTCTCTAACGATGTGCTTCGAAAGACACATTTGATTCTTCTTTTCATCACGTCCTCAGGTTGGCTTATTTACTTGCAATTGAATATACCTAGAATTTCTTTCAAATTATTTCAGTTGCCGAGTGTCTTGCAAATACACCATCCCCGGTAGCGTATGAGAGAATCAGGTCAGCTTACAGTATACCTGTCCCCTGACGACTAAGTATCAGAAGTGCCGTCGTCATCGAGAGGCCTAAAGTATAGAGCTAAGCCCGAGCTCCGTCGTGATCGCGGAGCGCCCGCTAACGGGCGTCCATATAGACAAAGCCCGCTAGCCCGGGAGAAGACACAGACGCATCAAGCTGTCTGATTGGAAGGTTGGGATCCA